TAAATGTCCAAATTTTCTCATTTAGGCACCCCATCCCAATATTTTATGTCATGCATTATAGAAATACTGTACTTTTTATCTATCTTATAGTATCTAGGTATAACATCCTTTTTAATCAGTTTATATTTCACTTATATTAATAAAAGTTACATCAACCCACTATTTTTACACTTCATATATTATTTGTTCTCACTCTTTTCCTCCTCCTTCTGATCCTCAACATAGGACCATAAATAAAGTAAAGCACTATGAAGCGATATGTAAGTCTAAATACTATTACTATTGCTATTATTGATTGCTTTGCTGGAATCAAGATACGCTATAGCCACTCCATTCCTGTGGCTATCCATACTGGTTATTCTACCCCAAAAGAAAGGCAGTTTATGTAAAACCTGCCTGCTCATATGACATCTCTGGTCTCTAACATTTCTAACATTTGAAAGATCTTTGGAAAAAGCCATTGATTTGAGGAATACGGTTTGACTATTTACAAACTGTCTTGTTTTGTCAGAATAGGTATATATATATATATCAGTCTTAAGCCACAATCTTGTTCCATATTTGTTACTACCTTAATTAATCTACTTCCTTTACTTTTCATGAAGTTACCAGCACACGGTAGCCCAGCTGTCTTTGTTCAGAAAAAAAAGGAAAAGCTGATGAACGGATGGAATTTATTACCACAACAGCCACTAACCTTGAAAGACTTTTTTAAAAAATGAACCTGACCAATTTATGGTTGAAAGTCTGCTGGCCCGTTATGAAAAGGCTGGTTTGCAAACAATGCTAAGTCAGATTTTTTAAAACGACTATCATTTGTTTAACAAACCATTTTAGCCTGCAGGAACACTTCATATAAAGCCAGAAACAAATGAAATTCAGGATTTAGCCTGAAGGCCAATAATTAAATGGCTTTCCACATTCTTTTGAAGTGAAGGATTTTTTTTTTAATTAAAAATTTCCAAAACCTCACACTGAAGTTTTCTCTATTCTCAGAAATCTCTTGTTTAAAAACTGGGATCCTTAACCCAGCCAGACTTTCCTATGGCTCTGAAATCCCATACCGTTTATGGGCTCCTCAGAGGCATAATTAACGCATCTAGCAAGGCGTTTCTTGACAGTTTTCATAACACAATTAACAAAGCTAAGGCTTACTCAATTAACCCAGTTACTGGCTGGATGTTCACATCACAGGCTTGATTAAAATATCCATAAGCTAGTCTGTCCTTCAGTGGCCTCATTTACCCAATATGTTTAATCTGATGAATGGAAAATTTAGCAGCCCTAATTTGCAACCTTGGTTAGTTTTAGTCTTGGTTTGATTTCAGCTTCGTGGGTTAATTCAGCGACCAGATTAAGCACAATGGGCAAACAGATTTCAGGATTAAAGTGAGAGTCAAACTCAGACTCTACTCTACGGTTAGTTGTATGGTATTCAACTCAGAATGATATTTTTTTGCATTACACTCATTAATTGTGAGGAAAAGGGGTGTGTTAAAAATGTGCTACACTACCCTAATGAATAAATATAGGTAGTCCTTGACTTAACAACCACAACTGAGCCCAACATTTCCATTGCTAGGTTTTGCCCCATTTTCCCACTTTTCTTGCAACAGTTGTTAAGTGGATCACCGCAGTTGTTACATTACTAACAGGGCTGTTGAGTGAATCTGACTTCCCCATTGACTTTGCACATCAGAAGGTCGCAAAAAGGGGAATCACGTGACTTTGGGAAGCTGCAAGGGGCGCTAGCATGAAACACGGCCATTGAAAGTTTGAACGGCCAGTAAAGGCACGGTTGGTAAGCCGAGAACTACCTATAACAGTGGTGGTGAACCTATGGCACGCGTGCCAGAGGCAGCACTCAGAGCCCTCTCTGTTGGCACGTGTGCCACCGCTGCCAGCAGCAGGTCCATCAGGCCACCCCCGCCACCCGGAGCAGGAGCCCCACCCAGCACAAAGGAGGCGAAGCGGCCGACTAGCAAGCTGGAGTAGAGGTGGTAGAACAGAGGTCACCAACCACTGTCGATTGGTGGACTGGAAGAAAAGGGAGGGGGAAGCATTTCACATGCGTGCATGCGCGCATGGGACCACGAGCACGCACGTGCTGCAAATGGGACGGGGCTAGTGCCTGCGCCATACCCACTAGCCCCGCCCCATTCTTGCATGGTGCAGCGCCTTGTATCTGCACCCCGTGGCGTGGCGGCGACCGTTTTTTATGCCTTGCAGCGCGGCGGCCCATTTTTTTTTGCCCCCCGTTTTTGCGTGTCAGAGATGGCACTCAGAGGTGCCTCCCTGTCCCCCCCCCCAAGGGCACCACAATGCTGGTGCGGTCCTGGCACTTTGCGATAAATAAGTGGGTTTTGGGTTGCGGTTTGGCCACTCAGTCTCTACAGCAGTGGTTCTCAACCTTTTTAATGCCGCGACCCCAACCGGTCGTAAGTCAAGGACTAAACCGGTCGTAAGTCGAGGACTAAACCGGTCGTACGTCGAGGACTACCCAACCGGTCGTAAGTCGAGGACTTTCCCTGCCCGGGAGTGCCGCACATGTGTGGTTCCGCCCCCTGCGCCGGCCGAGGCGTAGCTGGCAAGCGGCAGAGACGGAGCAGGCCGACCACCAGCTGGCCCAGCCCAAGGGAGGTAAGGCACCCGCCGGAAAAGGGGGAAAAAATGGCGGACAAAAAAAATGGCGGACAGCCTTGCTTGGCGACCCCCATGAAATGGTCGATCGACCCCAAATGGGGTNTCCCACTTTTCTTGCAACAGTTGTTAAGTGGATCACCGCAGTTGTTACATTACTAACAGGGCTGTTGAGTGAATCTGACTTCCCCATTGACTTTGCACATCAGAAGGTCGCAAAAAGGGGAATCACGTGACTTTGGGAAGCTGCAAGGGGCGCTAGCATGAAACACGGCCATTGAAAGTTTGAACGGCCAGTAAAGGCATGGTTGGTAAGCCGAGAACTACCTATAACAGTGGTGGTGAACCTATGGCACGCGTGCCAGAGGCAGCACTCAGAGCCCTCTCTGTTGGCACGTGTGCCACCGCTGCCAGCAGCAGGTCCATCAGGCCGCCACCGCCACCCGGAGCAGGAGCCCCACCCAGCACAAAGGAGGCGAAGCGGCCGACTAGCAAGCTGGAGTAGAGGTGGTAGAACAGAGGTCACCAACCACTGTCGATTGGTGGACTGGAAGAAAAGGGAGGGGGAAGCATTTCACATGCGTGCATGCGCGCATGGGACCACGAGCACGCACGTGCTGCAAATGGGACGGGGCTAGTGCCTGCGCCATACCCACTAGCCCCGCCCCATTCTTGCATGGTGCAGCGCCTTGTATCTGCACCCCGTGGCGTGGCGGCGACCGTTTTTTATGCCTTGCAGCGCGGCGGCCCATTTTTTTTTGCCCCCAGTTTTTGCGTGTCAGAGATGGCACTCAGAGGTGCCTCCCTGTCCCCCCCCCAAGGGCACCACAATGCTGGTGCGGTCCTGGCACTTTGCGATAAATAAGTGGGTTTTGGGTTGCGGTTTGGCCACTCAGTCTCTACAGCAGTGGTTCTCAACCTTTTTAATGCCGCGACCCCAACCGGTCGTAAGTCAAGGACTAAACCGGTCGTAAGTCGAGGACTAAACCGGTCGTAAGTCGAGGACTACCCAACCGGTCGTAAGTCGAGGACTTTCCCTGCCCGGGAGTGCCGCGCATGTGTGGTTCCGCCCCCTGCGCCGGCCGAGGCGTAGCTGGCAAGCGGCAGAGACGGAGCAGGCCGACCACCAGCTGGTCCAGCCCAAGGGAGGTAAGGCACCCGCCGGAAAAGGGGGAAAAAATGGCGGACAAAAAAAATGGCGGACAGCCTTGCTTGGCGACCCCCATGAAATGGTCGATCGACCCCAAATGGGGTCCCGACCCACAGGTTGAGAAACACTGCAAGTCTAAAAAGTTCGCCATCACTGACCTATAAAGCATGCAGTGCAAATACGGTATCTCAGAAAAGGCTGCATTGTTTGGATTTGGACCAAAGGAGAAGTCCTTTTTCCGCAGCCCGCTTCGTCCGCCCAGGGGCTGCCGGGCAAGGCGAGAACTGCAGCTGCCCAGAGTGGGAAAGGCGAGGGTGTTTTCGGAGCCCGGCCTCCGGATTGGCTCCCTTCATAAATCCAGAATTTGGGCGTTCTCTACTCTCATTCCAGCAGCAGCGAGTGGGCCGGGCCAGGCCCGGGCCTTCCCCCCCAGACGAGCCCCGGGGAGGAGCCGCGGCTGGCGGCAGCCGAAAAAAAAAACTCCGCCTCCCCCGGAGAAAGGGGCGCATTCATTCATTCTCCTCCGCTGTCGATCGCGCGCCTGGGCTGCCCCGCCGCGACTCTCGGAGACGGCGAGTCCCGCACCGGGACGTCGGAAAGCGACCTGAGCGGGCCAAGCGGAGGAAAGAAAGAAAGGAAAGAAAAAGAAGAAAAAGAGGAGAAAGGAGAAGGGGGAAAAAAAAGAAAAGAGGAGAAAGGAGAAGGAGAAGAAAAGAAAAGAAGGGAGGAAAAGAGGAGGAAGGGAAAGGGAAGGAAAGAAAGAAAGAGAGAGAAAAGGAGGAAGGGGAAGGAAAGGGAAAAGAGGAAAAGAGGAGAAAAGACAAGACAAGAAAGAAAAGAGGAGAAAGGAGAAGGAAAGGAAAGAAGGGAGGAAAAGAGGAGAAAGGAGAAGGAAAGAAAAGAAAAGAAGGGAGGAAAAGAGGAGAAAGGAGAAGGAAAGAAAAGAAAAGAAAAGAAGGGAGGAAAAGAGGAGAAAGGAGAAGGAAAGAAAAGAAAAGAAGGGAGGAAAAGAGGAGGAAGGGGAAGGGAAGGAAAGAAAGAGAGAGAAAGGGAGGAAGGGAAAGGAAAGGGAAAAGAGGAGAAAAGACAAGGCAAGAAAGAAAAAAGAGGAAAGGAAAGGAAAGGAAAGGAACGGAACGGAAAGGAAAACCAAAACCTTCGGGCACGGAGATCAAGTGGATTAATCGGAGCCGATCCCCTGGGTTTGCCAATGGCCAAAGGAGAGGGAGCGGAAAGCGTCTCCTCGGCTGGCCTCTTGCAACCGAGCATCTTAAAACCGGAGGAGCTGATCCGTTCCAAGGTAACGCCAAAGTCGAGCGGGCGGGCCAAGGCGAAAAGAGGCGGTGGGGGGAGAGGAAGAAAAGTTAACGAAGGCGCGGAGGGGCTGGAAACCGCGCGCGAAGCTGCTTCTGCTGGGGAACCGGGCAGATTTACTCCCGAGGAGGCACGGCTAGAAATAGCCGGCCGATCCACGTGCAGCCCGGGCAGCCAGTCAGTCGGCCGGGGGGGAGGGAGGGATGGGGGGGGTGTCCCGAGAGACCCCGAAAGTCCGGAATGGGTCTGGGGTACGGGCGCCGCTCGCCTGCCTCCCCCTCCTCCCAAGCAGAACCGGGAGGGCATGAAGCGGCCCCTCCCCAAAATTACAACGGCTCTCCTGGAGGCGAAGTTCGGTGGCCCCCTCCGGATCGGGGCGGAGGTGGGTGGGTGGGTGGGCGGGCGAGCCTTCCTTATAAGGCCCGGAGCCTTCAAATTCGAGCGGGCTCCGGGGCGGTGGGGGAAACCACCATGGCTCTGCGGCGGACGATGGCCGGCCCCTGGCGCTTGGTCAAGGTGAGTCCGCTCCGACGTGTCGGACGTGTGAACGGGGCCACGGGGGGAAGCGAAGGGGGCCGGCAAGGAGAGGGAACCCCCCCCCCCCATCCGCCTCTTGCAAAAAGAGCCACCTGGCTTTGGGCGAGTCAGCCTTGGGAAGTTGCACTCCGGTCGTTACGGGGCCTCGCGCGGTTCAAGTTCATTCATAAATGGGAAGAAGAAGGCGCACCCGCCCCCCTTTGGGCGACTTCCTCTTTGGAGAAAATGCATAAATAAAGAGAGGAAAGCGCTCTCTCTCACACGCCTTGCAGCCAAGGGAGATACGCTTGGCTTGTTTAACCCCCCCCCCTTTAATTAAAAAAATAATAATAATGGGGAAGGGGGCAGACTTTCACCTTCAAGTCTCTTTTCCCAGCCTCGTGGCGGTGTGTGCGCGCGCGCGCGCGCGTGTGTGTGCGTTTCTGCCTCTTTAAGAAGTGACTTTAGGAAGTGGCTGTTTCAGAAAGGGGTGTGTGGGGGGGTGAGGTTTTAATGCGAGGGTGTCTGTTCAGGGTTTGGCTTCCCTCGTAAGTGTTGTGTACTCCGAAGGATCATCACAAACACACTGGCTGAAATCACAGGAGGGGGGGGTGTTGGTTGAGAAAATCTTAGTCCATTTACAACACTCAATCCATGCTACTGTGCATTATTTTGAAAGAGTTTGTAATTCTTGATTTAACTAGGCTTCTTTCCCCCCCCCCCCCCCTGAAATTCAGCTCGGTTTTTACTACTGAAAAAGCATGGGCTGGGTGACCGGAATGCCCGGATTCTTAGCGTCAGGTGGGAACTCACCCAGGTGTGAGAATGCGAGCCTGGCACTTCGAGTTCTTGAAAGAATGAATGAATTCGGTGCTGAAAACCGTGGGATAGCTCTCTTAGCCAGTTTCCGGCTCTGACCACGATGGCCAGTAAACAAACCTTAAAGGGCAAGGAATATTTAGTCTCTGGCTTCTCTCTCTCAGATGTCTGTTGAAGTCCGGCTGCTTCCTGAAAAAAACACCTTTGAGACTTCTCTTAGACTTGATGTTTCTCATTTGTAACCTGAGCATTGGAATGGTGGCTGGATTTTGATGAATGGCTCTTGTCAGGTGGTTTTAGGGTGACCACATTGTGGCTTAAGTGAATGGCCTGTTGCACACAAAAAGGCTAAACAAGAGCTGGATTCACCAAACCGTTGAATGTCCAACTGCCACTTTAGTCTAGCCTTGCAAACGTGGCCACTGTGTATGGCTTGATCTTGGGGTAACCATGGAATGTAAGCCAGGATTCAGGGCATAGCACTTGGCTAGGCATTAGGGTACCTACCCAATGTTTTGAATTTAAATACCCATTCAGCCTTAGCTAGCATAGCCAGTGGCAAGAGAACGCAGGACTGTATCCAAAACACCTGGAGAACATCAAATTGTCCACCTCTGATTAAAGAATAGTGTGAGGATAGTCTTTGTGTCTGGAGGTTCAACTGGAAGATCCCACTGTTTTCTCACTTGTAACATGCTTTTTCAGTAGTAAAAACCGAGCTGAATTTCAGGGGGGGAAAGAAGCCTAGTTAAATCAGGAATTACAAACGCTTTCAAAATAATGCACAGTAGCATGGATTGAGTGTTGTAAATGGACTAAGATTTTCTCAACAAACCCCTCCCCCTCCTGTGATTTCAGCCAGTGTGTTTATGATGATCCTTCTGAGTACACAACACTTGCATTTATCAATCGGTTGGATTGGGTGTAGTGATTACCGCAACTTCCTAGAGATGATGCACATTTGCTGTGTTCACTCAATACACATAATCAACTCTGGTAAAAAAAATCCAGTGGTGTGCAAAACTCAGCTTTAACTTCTTTGATCGGATCCGAGGGGGGGAGGGGTGGGAGAGGACCTCAGAGCTGAATAATTTAATGCAACATCTCAACATTTTCAGTGCTAATAATTATTTTTTTTTTCAAATTTTTATTAATTTTCAAATAAACAAATTCTAAATACAAATATGGTGTACATTAATTAAAAAAAACATATTAAACATAATCAGTGCTAATAATTATTGATAGTGCTTCCAGAGTTTGTTTGGATGAAGGGGGAGGGTGTTACGGAGATAAACCCTGCTGGCACTGGGAAAAAGGCGTTTAATTGGTTTTTCACCCCAATTGGGGGCAGAAAGCGTGAACAAGCCACTACTTTTTGTGAGCCAGCTTCCATTATCTGTCCTTGGTGAGATTTATTGCCCATTTGAGCTGGGATATTTGCAAAGGGTGAGCTAAGAAAGTTGTTGCTATAACGTAGGAGTGATAAATACCTTGGGAAGATACGTGCAGTTGCTAAAGATTCTGGAAAGTTATGCAAAATTCTCCCTTTCTAAAACTAAGTACAGACCAAAGCACTTGGTCAATTTCTTGTTCAGTGTATTGTGCGAATCCAGAAAATACGTTAATTCCGTAAACTGTGTTGGCTGAATTTAAAGATGGATTAAATTTGTGGAGTATAGACCGGTATTTCTCATCCTTGGTATTTTTAAGACATGTGGACTTCCAACTCCCAGAATTCCCCAGCCAACTTCCTGTTGCCAAGGCTGAGAAAAACCGATACAGAGTGAGTCCTTATGGTGCTTTGATCCTTGCTTCCAAATTCTCTTTTCCAGAGAGAAAGCAAAGCTAAGCTATCAATATGCAGCAAAGTGTGTTATGCCATCGGTGGAGCACCCTATCAGATCACTGGCTGTGCTTTGGGATTCTTTCTACAGATTTACTTACTGGACGTGGTGCAGGTAAGCCCTAACTGGCCTCTTTGAAGCTGGGTGACGGTGGTCAGACCAAGACTTATTTGTTGGGACTTGTGTTGGATTCAACTCTAGGTTGAGCCCCTTCCACAGATTTGCACCCAATATAAATTTTCTTTAAGGGCTGTTTTCTTTGGTTTAGAGCAGTGATGGCGAACCTTTTAGAGACCGAGTGCCCAAAAACTGCCCCCACTCCACCCCCTGCCCCGCCCCGTTCCGCCTCCAATCCCCCGTTCTGCCCCGCCTGCCCGCAGGGCCACTCACCGCCTCCAGGGCCCGCCACAGATCGCCCAGGCAGCCCAGCAGCGCTATGGCGGTCACGCCCTCTGCCCACACCCTGCAGCATCAACTGTGCACGATGGGGTGTGAGGGCAGAGTCTTGTCTACGCTGCCTGGCTGCCATGTCCTTGGCTGCACTGCTCCGCATGGGCCACGCTCAGGGGTGACTTTCCTTCAGGGGGGCTGCTGGAGAGGAGGGGGTCACAGGGGAGGCGAGGCTGGGGCAACGGCACGTGTGCCCACAGAGAGGGCTCCGAGTGCCACCTCTGGCACCCGTGCCATAGGTTCGCCACCACTGGTTTAGAGTTCCCCAAAGCTTCTGTTTCCATGCAGAATTTCCTACATACTCCACTCTATGTAGAACCTTAGCTTTTTAAGGAAGCATCTCTTCTGGTTTCTGCTTGAGATGCTCGCTTCCTATACGGAGGTACTTTCTTGATGCTCTTTCGGATCTGGTCTCAGCGCTGTGTCCCTCGTACCATACCACCCCCTGGACAGGCAGCCCTCCTTCAGGCAACTCCTTATTGAGCTCAGGATCCAAGGGCTTCTGCAGGGCTGTGTAAAGATAGTCCTTGACTTACTTACTTTCTATCTAACAAAATGAAATTCAGTGGTGAAAAAAAGTAAGGTTCTACATTTAGGCAAGAAAAACCAAATGTACATGTATAGTATAGGGGGTAACTTGCTCAATAGTAGTAACTTTTAGAGGGATCTTGGAGTCCTAGTGGACAATCACCTAAATAGGAGCCAGCAGTGTGCTGCAGCTGCCAAAAAAGCCAACACAGTGCTGGGCTGCATTAACAGAGGGATAGAATCAAGATCACGTGAAGTATTAATACCACTTTAAATGCCTTGGTAAGGCCACACTTGGAATACTGCATCCAGTTTTGGTCACCATGATGTAAAAAAGATGTTGAGACTCTAGAAAGAGTACAGAGAAGAGCAACAAAGATGATTAGGGGACTGGAGGCTAAAACATATAAGGAAAGGCTGTTGGAATTGGGTATGTCTAGTTTAATGAAGAGAAGGATGAGGGGGGACATGATAGCAATATTCCAATATCTCAGGGGCTGCCACAAAGAAGAGGGAGTCAAGCTATTTTCCAAAGCGCCTGAAGGCAGGACAAGAAGCAATGGATGGAAACTGACCAAGGAGAGAAGCAACCTAGAGCTAAGGAGAAACTTCCTGACAGTTAGAACAATTAACCAGTGGAACAACCTGCCTCCAGAAGCAGTGAATGCTCCAACACTGGAAGTTTTTAAGAAGAGACTGGACAGCCATTTGTCCGAAGTGGTGTAGAGTTTCCTGCCTGAGCAGGGGGTTGGACTTGATGACCTCCAAGGTCCCTTCCAACTTTATTATTATTATTATTATTATTATTATTATTATTATTATTATTACTTATGACCCCAGTCGGGAGCATAATTTCTGTTGCTGAGCAAGGCGGTTGTGAAGTCTGTCGTGCCCAGTTTTATGACCTTTTTGCCACAGTTGTTAAGTGAATCGTGCAATTGTTAAGCGAATTGCACAAATTACACAGCTTCCCCCATTGACTTTGCTTGTTGAAAGCTGCCTGGGAAAGTTTAAAATGGCAACCAGGGCCAGTCGCAACCGTCATAAATGTATGGCCTTTGCCAAGGGCCCAAATTTGGATCATGGGATGTTGGGGACACTGAAGGGGAGCGTAAGAGGCGAGGACTGATTGCACCTCACTTTATTTTCAATGCCATTGTCACATGGTAACAATGGTTCAAAGGAATGGTGGTCCATCGAAAACTACCTGTCACAAATGGGCCCAGTGCAGCTNAAGATGTTGAGACTCTAGAAAGAGTACAGAGAAGAGCAACAAAGATGATTAGGGGACTGGAGGCTAAAACATATAAGGAAAGGCTGCTGGAATTGGGTATGTCTAGTTTAATGAAGAGAAGGACGAGGGGGGACATGATAGCAGTATTCCAATATCTCAGGGGCTGCCACAAAGAAGAGGGAGTCAAGCTATTTTCCAAAGCACCTGAGGGCAGGACAAGAAGCAATGGATGGAAACTGACCAAGGAGAGAAGCAACCTAGAGCTAAGGAGAAACTTCCTGACAGTTAGAACAATTAACCAGTGGAACAACCTGCCTCCAGAAGCAGTGAATGCTTCAACACTGGAAGTTTTTAAGAAGAGACTGGACAGCCATTTGTCCGAAGTGGTGTAGAGTTTCCTGCCTGAGCAGGGGGTTGGACTTGATGACCTCCAAGGTCCCTTCCAACTTTTTTTTTTTTTTTTTTTTTTTTTTTTTTTTTTTTTTTTTTTTTTTTTTTTTTTTTTTTTTTTTTTTTTTTTTTTTTTTTTTATTATTATTATTATTATTATTATTATTATTATTATTATTATTATTATTATTATTTTTATATTCGATTGTATTTTATTCGATTGTATTTTTATTCGATTGTTAGCCGCCCTGAGTCCGCAAGGAGAAGGGCGGGATATAAATTTAATAATAAATAAATAAAATAAAAATAAATTATTATTATTACTTATGACCCCAGTCGGGAGCAGAATTTCTGTTGCTGAGCAAGGCGGTTGTGAAGTCTGTGGTGCCCAGTTTTATGACCTTTTTGCCACAGTTGTTAAGTGAATCGTGCAATTGTTAAGCGAATTGCACAAATTACACAGCTTCCCCCATTGACTTTGCTTGTTGAAAGCTGCCTGGGAAAGTTTAAAATGGCAACCAGGGCCAGTTGCAACCGTCATAAATGTATGGCCTTTGCCAAGGGCCCAAATTTGGATCATGGGATGTTGGGGACACTGAAGGGGAGCGTAAGAGGCGAGGACTGATTGCACCTCACTTTATTTTCAATGCCATTGTCACATGGTAACAATGGTTCAAAGGAATGGTGGTCCATCGAAAACTACCTGTCACAAATGGGCCCAGTGCAGCTTTCTTCATCCAGAACCTTCCGGGTGTGGTAGAATTAAAATTCCCCAGAAATCGTAGCAGCACGTGATTGTTGTTTGGGAACTCCAGGAATTACTGAGCAATAACAAATATGCTGCCCCAATTCATCCAGAAGGAGGGCTGGGCAATTAATTTTCCCAAAGGGATACAGCAAAGGTGGGACGGTTGTGCAGAGCCAAACCCAACAGAGCCGTACACTTATTTACATTTGATTTTCTAATTTTTTTCCCAATTGACCTCACACGGGCTAGGCAGGGACAGACAAAAGAGCCGGATGTGGTCTCGCGCTGCAAAATGCCCAGGTCTGATCCAAAGGGCACCACTTTAGGGAACGAATATTCCCAAATTGCAGGGGTTTCTCATGCTTTTTCTCCTAGATCAGGGGTCTGCAACCTTGACAACTTTAAGACTTGTGGATTTCAGCTCCCAGAATTCCTCAGCCAGCAAAGGAATTCTGGGAGCTGAAGTCCACAAGTCTTAAAGTGGTCAAGGTTGCAGACCCCTGGCTTAGATGGAACTTCATGCTTCCATTTCACATCTTGTTTTCCTGGGGCAGAGAATACCTCTAGAATTGCTGACAATGTGAACGGAACCAAGGCTAAAATCCAGAGCCTGCTCCCACTTCTACTCTGATAGGCAACCACACTGTTGAAGGCATTGTTCAGTCCATTTTACATGCTCCTGGCAAGTGTTCCCAAACGAAGAACATCTTGTTTTCTCATGGGGCATTGCTTGCCTCCATGATATGTTGTCGGTGGTGTTTTGCTTTCAGTAAATAACTCCTGCTGAGAATAGCAGCACATGTGCTATTGCTTGGGTAACTCATTGACTGAGTTCACACATCCCACAAAGCCCTGGCTTGCTTGATCTGTAATTTGTTAAATAAGCCACACTGGCTTGGTTTGACAAGCCCCCAAGCCTGACCAAACAATGTTATGTACCACTGTTGACATGTGGTTCCATTTGTTTTGTTGGCCCCGTCCTCTCTGGAAGTCTGCATAGCATGTAGAGGTTCATAGCTCTGAATTAAGAATTCAGCAACTCGGCATTTCAAAACTTGAAGGTGGCAGGCTTAAAAATGCAATTAATGTGACTATGGAAATTCTCAATCATCCAGGTCATGATTGTCCCAAAGGTGCTTTTTCCAAAAGTCAGCTGGACTTTCTTGGTTTTTTTTTTCTCATCCAAGAAGCTCATCCAGAACTGAAGAAGCTTCTTGGATGAGAAGTGAAAAGTTTTCAAAGGAAAAAAAACAAACCAAGGAAGTTGTCTTTTGAAAAAAAGCACATTTGTGGCAATTAATGTAACTTCACCACCTGAAAAAGCCTGTCCAAGGTTTCTGTTTCAGCTAGAAACAAAATTTGAAACACTTGGAAAAACTCAGGAGAAAATATCAAAATTGTAGAGTGAGTCACACAGGTAATAATAATAATAACAACAACAACAACAATAACAACAGTAATAATAACAGTAATAATAACAGTAATAATAACAGTAATAATAACAGTAGTAATAATAGTAATAATAATAGTAATAATAATAATAGTGATAATAATAAAGTTGGAAGGGACCTTGGAGATCATCTAGTCCAACCCCCTGCTCAGATAGGAAACCCTATACCATTTGGACAGATGGCTGTCCAGTCTCTTCTTAAAAACCTCCAATGTTGGAGCATTCATGGCTTCTGGAGGCAGGTTGTTCCACTGGTTAATTGTTCTAACTGTCAGGAAGTTTCTCAGCTCTAGGTTGCTTCTCTCCTCGCTTAGTTTCCATCCGTTGCTTCTTGTCCTGCCTTCAGGCGCTTTGGAGAAAAGGTAGTCTTCAACTTATGACCGATCACTTAGTGAAGGTTTGAAGTTAAGACCTGAATTCAAAGTTCCAATGGTTGCCTCCCCCCCCCAGTCACATGATTGCATTTTGGGTGCTTGACAACTGGCCAGCATGTACGGCCATTTGCAGCATCCCACACTCACACGACCACAGTTCATAAGGGGTTTCAATGGAAACAGGCATTTCCTTCTGATTTCCAGCAAAAAAAAAAAAAAAGACCCATTGTGGACAATGGGTTCGCTTAACGGCTGCAGCGTTCATTTACAACCGATACAAAAAAGGTTGTAAAGTTGGGCACGGTCACCTGATGACCCGCTTAACAATCAGCATGACTTACGAGCGTGATTCCAGGCTCAACTACAGGTCATAAGTTGAGGACTACCTGTAGTTATTGGAAGAGATAGAAAGCCGTTACCAAGAGAATTTCAGCTGCTCATGAAACTGCTTGAGTTTATACGGCTGTAGTTTAAATACTGAGTTTTCCACCTCGCCCTGCCTTTGTCTCTTTCTGGTGGGTTGTTTCTACTTGTCCTTTTTTTTTCCCTGCAAGAGACCAATCTGCTTTTCTTTCACATTACTTACAGTGAGAGAATGAACTCTCACTTTGCGTTTCATGGAGGTTCTTCCTTTCTTCTGTTTAACAGATGGATCCCTTCTATGCATCTATCATCCTTTTTGTGGGACGTGCGTGGGATGCCGTAACTGATCCCCTGGTGGGTTTCTTCATCAGTAAAAGCTCCTGGACTTGCTTTGGACGCCTGATGCCCTGGTAAGCATGCCTGGTTGCAATCTTGTGGAACAAAGCCTCATGTTGTACAGTGACATCTGCAGAGTTTCCTTGTCACAAAGCAGGAGTAGTTCGCCATTATACCTTTTTTTCCAGAGGTCTTGAAAAATTATTTTTATCCAATAGCCTGGTGTGTCTTGGTGTCTTCCATACAAGCTCCAACCTTGTTTAACTTTCAGAAGATCAACCAAGGTTGGCGATGTTCTGCCACCTTCTGTGATGAAACTTAAGGAAGCTCATTGCTGCTACTGATCACAAGAGCACACATGGGTGCTATTGTTGATAACAAAAGAGAAGTGGTTTGCCGTTATCTTGTGACATGTTTTTTTTCCCCAATACCCAGAACTTGTCTTCAGCTTGGAAAACTAGATGGAGATACCCCTGTAGTCACTAGAAATCAAGCTGACTTAAAATCAGTCTTGACTTAGCCAAAAGTGCTGTGCATTGACAGAATTGTAACCCTGTTGTTTGCAGTTTTTGACTGGAGAACGTCAAAAGCAGCAGGAGAGTTTTGATCCTTAGTGACTAAAGTCGGATGAGCTGGAGCTTTGGACTAGCTGCAGGTTCCTATCTCCACTGGGGTTGTAGAAGAAGCTACTAACGGTGTAGGAAGTGGGTTGGTGTCTATCATAGTCAAGTGGGAAGCATTCAAGGGGTGCACTTGAGGGTAGCAGTAATATTGGCAGCTGATTGTGTCCCCTAGTTTTGTGACTGCAGCACTGTGGATGAATTCTGCTTCTTCCCCAACCTGGGAGATAATTTGGGGTCCTTGTAGAGACATAGGAAGAAGGTGACTTGATGAAATGGAGACACTTTGCATGCTGTGAGCATGGGAAGCAAAACCTGTGTTTTGGTAGGTCACAAGGAAGAAGTCAACCTGCACTTGGGATTGGGCTGGTCCATGAAAGGTTTTGTATGTGTAGGTATAAAAAAAACACCCACAATAGATAACACATTTGTTCAAGCTACAACTTCTTCCTGGATATTCTGTTTTCCCTCTAATGTTTGCTTTTTTCCCCTCACCCCATTTCAGCTGTTGGTGAGCATTTTAGAGATAGCATGCCCCAAGTGGCTTGGGGAACACCTGTTTTCTTCATTTATAGCAAGCGTGGACAGAAGACTTTTCAGGATTGTTCCAGATCTTGAAGTCCTTCTTAATGCCGATTGGAAAATAGCAACCGGGTGGCACCAGATTGCCTACAATCGTGTTGCTTTACCTTAGCAACTTTACAATGTGTGGACTTCAACTCCCAGAATTCCCCAGCCAGCCTGCTGGGAGTTGAAGTCCACAAATCTTAAATTTGCTAAGGTTGAGATACAGTGATTTAGCCTAACCATCTGCTCAATTCAGGATTTACTAGAACAGTGGTGGCGAACCTATCGCACGGGTGCCAGAGGCGGCATCAGAGCCCTCTCTGTGGGCACGCATGCCATCACCCCAGTCCTAGGCCTTCAGCTGGGTTTTATAAAACCTTTTCGCTTTAGGTTCAATCAATCAGTCAATTTCAACTTGCGGGGGAAAAAAAAGATCTTGCAAAGTTGGAATTGATTGATTGAACTTTTTAGTCCCACCCAGTCTGCCATTGCCATTGCAGCCACGCCCACCCAATGGGCCACACCCAGCCAATGGGCCACATCCACCCGGCACCCGACGATGCATAAGTGGGTTTTGGGTTGCAGTTTGGGCACTCGGTCTCTAAAAGGTTCGCCATCACTGTACTAGAACATCTCTGAGAATTGACCGTCCAGACCTTATTTGAACCCCTCAAGGAAAAAAGAATTTTCAGCTTCATAGGACAGCCTTCCCCTGACTGCGGCTCATACAAGTCAGGAAATTTATTTTGATGTTTACCCTGAAAAGTCTGTAAATGATGTAAGGATTATAAAACAAAGAATGAGAATACAAGCATGAAAGCCTGCACAGGATATTATAAAACAGAAATGCACAATGTTTTCTAGGTTACATTTGAATTTCTAGACATACCCTAAGGGTGCAGTCCAAAAATTTGTGCTTGACGCCAAGACAGTCAAACTTTGAGTTGATTTAATTCACTTTTATGTAATTAAAACTTGCAGTTCAGAATAGTTGGCAGTTGGAGGATTTGCCCGTTCAGCATGAAGATTAGCTGTTGATTATATACGATCCTCAACTTATAACCATAAGTGACCCTGAAATTATGGTCATAAGTTGTTGGGGTCATAAGTTGAAAGCATGTCCCTGGACCTGAGTTTTTGGCATTTTTTTTGCAGCAGTCATTAAGCAGATGCCCTGATCATTAAGTGAACCCTGAGATCATTAAGCAAATTCATTTTACCTAATGGGTGTTTTTTGCTGGATACCAAAAGTAAAACACCAGATAAGATGACAAAAATTATGGTCACATGGCTGCAGAATGCTACAACTGCAGCCATAAAGCTGAGCCAGTGGCCCAGTGCCCAAAATGTGATCCATGGAGGTTTGTGTAGACATCCTAACTTTGAAGAGTTGCTTACCAATCAGTTGTAGGTCGAGGACTATCTCTAAAATGGTCAGATTGTTTTCCAGGGCTGGGCACGTGTTTGATCTCAGAAGCATGAGGTTTCCACCGTTAGGCCAACCAACCAGGAACTTTTAATAATTGGCTGGAATAATTGAGTCCTCGTGTGTGCTCTCTTTGCATAGATTGGCCTTTAAGAGGAAAAAAATATATAAGCGCAAAGAGGAACAGTGTATGAATAAAGGAGTTCATTCAGCTAAGCTTTAGGGACCTCTTTTGAAAGAAGTTTTTTGTCAAAGCTTTTCCTGACTCTGGGTTCAGGCAGTCACAATAACCCCATGTGAATAAAACACTGGCGTCCCATAATAGGCAACTCTCACCAAACAGAAATGAATTACCGGTATGTTTTATTATTATGCTGGCTGGGGAATTCTGGGAGTTGAAGTCCATGCATCTTAAAGCTGCTAAGGTTGAGAAACTCTAGTCTACAGCAGGAACTTGACTTACAAGCATCTGTTTAGCAAAAGTGACTTAAGACTGGTCCACAGGCTTGTGTGACCGCCCTAGCATCCTCGTGGTCACATGATGAAAATTTGGGCACTGGGCAACCGGCATGCATTTACAACGTTTGCGGTGTCCTGGAGTCACGTGATCACCATTTGCAGCCTACCTAGTCAGCTTCTGACATTGGGGGAAGCTGGATTCATTTAACGACCGCATGATTCATTTAACAAGCGCAGGGATTCACATAACAACAATGGCAAAAAGGTCATGAAATTGGGTGCATCTCACTTAACAACTGCCTTGCTTAGCAAGAAAAATAACTGTGGTCATAAGTGGAGGATTACCTGTTCTTCATATAATCTGTCAAATGATGGTTGGGTTGCCGCATGCTATGTCACAAATACATTAAGCCTATTTTAGCTTAGCTTAGCCCGAATATTGTGTGGATCCGGATAGAGAATCTCAAAGTCTGCTATAATAATAATAATAATAATAATAATAATAATAATAATAATAATAATAATAATAATAATAATAATAATAATAATAATAATAATAAAAAAAAAAAAATAGTAGTAGTAGTAGTAGTAGTACCACCAATAGTAATAGGCGCCTTGGGTGCAATCCCAAAACAACTGGAGCACCACTTGAACACCATTGGCATTGACAAATTCGCCATTAGTCAATTGCAAAAAGCGGCCTTACTAGGAACTGCTTCCATTCTGCAACTATATCTGTAATACCATCAAACATCCACATCTGCCTATCCCAGGTCCTTGGTAAGGACTCGATAGGTAGACAAAATGCCAAATCCAGTCTGAACATCTGGCTGACTGTGCGACGATCAATAATAATAATAATAATAATAATAATAATAATAGTAATAGTAGTAGTAGTAGTAGTAGTAGTAGTAGTAGTAGTAGTAGAATTGGAAAGGACCTTGGAGGTCATCTAGTCCAACCCCCTGCTCAGGCAGGAAACCCTATACCATTTCGGACAAATGGCTGTCCAGTCTCTTCTTAAAAACTTCCAGTGTTGGAGCATTGACAGCTTCTGGAGGCAGGTTGTTCCACTGATCTTAGCTGGCAGCTGCCTTCACCCAACACAGTACTGGGCATGCAGGCTGGTATTGATGGGACATGAACTGAAGGGTGCAGGGATGTGGGGCAGGCTAATTTAAATATACCTTTATTGCACATATGGAGGCTTTGCTCAGCTGCAATTGTTAGAAGCCCTGTGCTCGGGGAATGCAGATGTGTGCATGTATGTATTGTGCCCTCTTGCTTCTATAGTTTCCACCCTTGGCATTTGCCCAGGGTAATTTGTTGGCAGGGTTGCTTCCTCTGGAAGACCTGAAACAGCCCCCTTATCAGCAGCTAAGTTTAGAGTCCCCTGACGTAAGAAAAGCCTGGGATTTAGGAGGTCATGTCCTCAGGCCTCTGATCAGGTGACTGTCCTTAGCTTTGCAGGACACCCTGATGCACGTTGCAGCCCAGTCCTTTGAGAAGGGCCCCCCCAGCTCGGTTCTTCTCCTTCTCTTCCTGCAATTAAACCACCTGAGCTTTTGCAGCAGTTTCAGACGGACATTCCTGAAAGTTAGTTTGCCCTTCCATTACAGGTCATCCTCGGCTCACAACTGTAATTGAGTCCACAAGTCGTCCTTCTCTTCCTTAAACTAGACATACCCAATTCCAGCAGCCGTTCCTCATATGCTTTGGCCTCCAGTCCCCTGATCCTCTTTGTTGCTCTTCTCTGCACTCTTTCTAGAGTCTCAGCATCTTTTTTACATCGTGGTCACCCAAAGCTTCGGTAGCAATAAATGCTCGTCGTGGCAATAAGAAGCGGATCCATGCGCCAACCACAGAGAAAGGCACTTTTCAGCTTTTGGGGTTTGCACTGCACTCAGATCAAGAGCCACTTTTGAGTTCTCTCTTGTTTTTCTTTNTTCCTTCCTTCCTTCCTTCCTTCCTTCTCCTTTTCTTTTCCCTCCCCTTCCTTCCCCTTCCCTTCTTATCCCTTTATCTTCCCTTTTGCTTTCCACATAGACCATTGTTCTGGCACTCATAAAAAGTACCTAAGGCTAAAATGCGTCTGCATACTTCCATATGGTAACCTCTTGTGGTAGCAACATCTAGAGAAGTTGAACTATGCATGACTCTGAAGGATAGGTAAAATGTTCTCCCTTCTCCCAGCTGGCTAAAAATAGACACCATAAATGAATGTTCTTTATTTCTCTTCCTCTTCTTGTCATCTCTGCTCAGTCCGTATGAGTTTTCTTGCCCGGACTGCTAAGAAACCACAAGAAGTAACATCTTCCCGGAGGACAAGAACATTTTTCATTTGAACAATAAAAGATTGAGGGCCAGCCTGTGCTGCAGGAAAAATCGTATCCTCGTCATTCTCCTTTTTGAAGGATGATTTTAATTTTGCCAATGAGCATTTCGCATTTAGTCTTTCCCAACATCCAAATATCTAATGAGCTAAAAAATCTAGGATGGTAGCAGTCTTTTCAGTTCCCCAAGTAAAGTCAGTTTGTTGTTGTTGTTAATTGCGAAGTCGTGTCCAACCCATCGCGACCCCATGGACCCCAACGTCCCCCTAGGCCTTCCTGTCCTCTACCATCCTCTGGAGTCCATTGAAGTTCACGCCTCCTGCTTCAGTGACTCCATCCAGCCACCTCCTTCTCTGTCGTCCCCTTCTTCTCTTGCCCTCCATCTTTCCCAGCATCAGGCTCTTCTCCAGTGAGTCCTTCCTTCTCATTAGGTGGCCAAAGTACTTGAGTTTCAACTTCAGGATCCGGCCTTCTAAAGAGCAGTCGGGGTTGATCTCCTCTAGGACTGACCGGTTTGATCGCCTTGCAGTCCAGGGGACTCGCAGGAGTCTTCTCCAGCACCATAGTTCAAAGGCCTCAATTCTTTGGCGCTCAGCCTTTCTTATGATAGTAAAGTCAGTACACCTACAGATTTCACTTAACTGGTGCTGTCATTTTCAGGCTTATTAGCCCGCAAGTCCTGAACATCTGAAGAAAAGGCAGCCCTCAACTTATGACCACAATTCAGCCCAAAATTTCCATTGCTAAGGAAGACAATTGTTAAGTGAGTCTTGTCTCATTTTACAACCTTTTTTACCCCAGTTGTTAAGTGAATCTGGCTTCCCCATTGACTTTGCTTGTCAGAAGGTCGCTAAGGGTGATCATGTGACCCCGGGACACGGCAACCGTCATAAATACATGCCAGTTGCCAAGCGTCTGAATTTTGAACACGGGACCTTAGGGATGTTGTCCTGGTCGTAAGTGTGAAAAATGCTCATAAGGCCCATTTTTCAGTGCCGCTGTAACTCGAACGGTCACTAAACAAATGTTGTGAGTCAAGGACTACTTGTCCAAAACTTACACAGTCATTCATTTATTTGTTATGAAAATGTCCCAAAACTCTTAGTTGGTTTTGCTGCAGAGTCTTCATTTTCTGGATACCCTTATTTAAATGTGCAGTCGTCCTACAGGGAATTGAAGCCAGCTAAACATGTCCAGTCCATTCACTTGAATGGATTGGGTGGATTCCTCTTTTCTCTGTTCCCCTTTATACACATCAGGCATGCAGACTTGATCTCCCTAACCTTTCTCCCAGTCTAAAGGAGACCATCTTGTGTGTTGCTGTCACTTGCAAGTGGTGTTTAAATTTGTCTAGTCCTCTTCCTGCTGTTTGTCTGGACAATTTTGCCCTTGGAACAAGTTTTTTGCAAAAACATTGCTCTGCTTATGATGCTTTATGGAAACTTGTTTCACCAACCTATCATCTAGGGCAGGGATGGCTGGCTCAGGAATTCTGGGAGTTGAAGTCCATGAGTCATAAAAGAGCCAAGGTTGCCTACCCCTGATCTAGGTCCTAGGAGATGTTAATGTATAGGGTCACTTGTAAACCTTAAAGCTCTTAGAAATTTGTGAGAGCTATTGATTTGAAGAAGTGTAGACTGGGGGATTCTGGGAGTTGAAGTCCACACATCTTTCAAGTGCCAAGGTTGAGAAACATTGGTCTAGAGAGAATCATACTTAACTGAATTCCATGGATCTTAGCAACATGGTTTAGGTTAGAGATGAAGGTTCAGTCCTACTCATTTTATTTCATGTTGAGGCTGGCAAATCATGGCTTCCTAACTCTATTTAGGAAGATATAAATTTACTGTTGAAATTAACAGTAGGCATCTTGACATCCTCCAGATGTTTGGGTAGGTCTCTCTTACGGTCCTTTTCTGTTGGCCATGATAGTTGGGACCGGGAGAAGCTGAAGGCCACAACATCTGAAAAACAATGGATACTGTATGGCTTGGGAAGAAGTCTTAACTCAGAGGAAACATTGTGTGTGGGTTAGTTGAACAAGCTGCAATGACTTGGTTGGAGAGTCGCTAAGCTGCATTTTGTGATTTAGAACAATGGCTTAAATCCTCCGGTGCACAAAGCCAAGGATTCCATGCCAGGTTTCATGTCATTCTAGGTCTTGTGAGCCAGGTTGAAAGCTGCTCTCAAAAGGGGGGGGGAGGGGCCTGTTTTGAGTGGACCTTTAAGGGGTACATTAGATGCTTGAGACCCTTAAGAGTCTTAAGAGATTCATTTTGCAATGAAGAAAAAAAAAGGCCTAACGTCTAAGGGCACCAAAAAGATGTTCATAGACCATCGTCTTGTTTGTTTATTCCTACGTTAAGCCAGAAAGAAGCAAACCACTTGATGGCTTAGGGCCATCAGTGAATGCTGAGTGTGTGCATGAGAGAGAGGGAGAGAAGAAAGAGAGAGGCTGGGTTCACATACTTTACAGGATTAAGCCAACTGTGTGGTTCAGCTGTTTGTCGGTTCTCCCCCCCCCCTTGAATAGCATGCCGGATCAATTAAGCCATCAGAATAAGCCACCATATGGTTCATTTCTTTGGCCTTGGCTCTGGGAAGCAGTTATATTGTGTTAACTTGGGTTGGGCATTGTGAGAAAATTGGCATTGGGTAGAAACCCGAGTGAGTGAGTGTGTTGTGTTGCTGGTTTTTCTTAAATCTTGTGCTGCCTTTGCACATTCTCATTGAAACGCTCCATAACTATTGTTAAGTTTGGGTTTTCAGCTGGGGTTAACCAGTTCAGGATGCAGCCAGTGGGATCCAAACTCTTGCCCAATGGGTTTGGATTTTGCAGAGATCATGCTGATCAGTCCACCTTAAACCAACTTAACGCATGTCCGAATGGTGTGACAGATCAACCATGGCTTTTGTTATCTTTTCTCCAAGCACCCCAGTATATTAACTCTTTCATTTGGCTTGTAACCCCGACAGGATTATCTTTTCCACTCCCTTTGGTGTGATCTCCTACTTCCTGATATGGTTTGTGCCTGACTTCTCTCAAGGGCAAGTGATGTGGTACCTTTTCTTCTACTGCGTGTTTCAAACTCTTGTGACGGTGAGTCTATCCTTTCCAAATACTTGGATTTATTTCCCTTCGTCTTCTCCATGTTCCCTTCCTTCCCTTCCCTTGCCCTACCCTGCCCTTGCTTGCCTTGGTCTTCTGCTCCATACAGTGCCTTCATTGGCCATCATAAAACCAGCATATAGGTAAAATGCTGGATTTAAGATTATAAAAACGGGATGGAGCTAAAATAAGTAAGGAGTGAACATTTTAGCCAGGGGTCTTCAAACTTGGCCCTTTTATGACTTGTGGACTTCAACTCCCAGAATTCCTGAGCCAGGAATTCTGGGAGTTGAAGTCCACAAGTCATAAAAGGGCCAGGTTTGAAGACCCCTGATTTTAGCAATGGGAAGCAGCCTTGATTAGACTCTGCTGTGTATATATTGCTATAGAACGTATATTTCTGATAACCTGTTTCTAAAATAAGATTCCGGTCCTCCTTGTGTTCTATTGCAGGCACATCCACTTCATCCCACTGCATGAAATCTCTTGCCTTCATTTTTCCAGTTGTAGGGATATTTTCTAGTCCTTATAATTGTGTGTGTGGGGGAGCACCATTTTTGCCATAGAGGGATCCTAATCAATTCATCAACGTAGCCCAATAAAATCTGAATCGGATTTTGTGTGCTGAATATGCTCTGAAGTCTTCCAACATATTTTGGGAATTCAGTTTGGCCTGTTGGTGTCTGCCCATGTAAGGTCCCAAATGTGGTTTCTCTTCTCCCCACCCCCACATCCCCAAATTATTTCTTCCAAAAATATTATGTCCTATCATAGTGGTGGCGAACCTATGGCACGGGTGCCAGAGGCGGCACTCAAAGCCCTCTCTGTGGGCACATGTGCTGTTGCCCCAGTCTCGCCTCCCCTGACTCCCTCCTCACCAGCAGCACCCCTGGAGGAGAGTCGCCCCCGAGCGTGGCCCACACGGAGCAGCGCAGCCAAGAACATGGCAGCCAGGCAGCGTAGGCAAGACTCTGCCCTCAGGTCCCATCACACGGGCAGAGGGCATGGCCGCCATGGCGCTGCTGGGCTGCCCGAGTGATCTGTGGTGGGCCCTGGGGGCGGTGAGTGGCCCTGCGAGCAGGTGGGGTGAGGGATGGGGTGGGGGCAGAGCGGGGGCAGGGCAGGGGGTGGAGCGGGGGCAGGGCCAGTTTTTGGGCACTCGGTCTCTAAAAGGTTTGCCATCACTGTCCTCTCAAATCAAATCTAGATTGCAGCCACGGACCAGCATATTATCCTTTTATATTATGCATTTGCAAGAGGAATGGGTGTGTGCAAGCTCAGAATCTTTCCTTCTTTTCTCCTTGGCAGTGCTTCCACGTTCCTTACTCAGCCCTCACCATGTTCATCAGCAGAGAGCAGAGTGAAAGGGATTCTGCCACAGCCTACCGTAAGAAACCCCCCCTTTCCGTTTATGCCACACCGAGATCAAAAGCTTCCACCCTTCTAATTGTGGATGCTGATTCTTCCTCTTCTGATACGCTGAACTGCAAAACACCACAATCTGTGTGTGTGTTTGTCTATGTAGTGTGTTTAAATGTGTGTTGTGTGTGTACACTTTGAGAGCAAGCAACTAAATTTCATTTTTAATGTGTGCCATTGTGCCCAGAGTAAAAAAAATGACAATAAAGGCTTATCTATCTATCTATCTGTCTGTCTGTCTATCTATCTATCTATCTATCTATCTATCTATCTATCTATCTATCTATCTATCTATCAGCTATCTCTATCATCTATCATCTATCTATCATCTATCCACATTATCTATCATCTATTTATCTACATTATCTATATCTATCTGTCTCTGTCTATATCTACATTATCTATCATCTATCATCTATTTATCTACATTATCTATATCTATCTGTCTGTCTATATCTATACTATCTATCATCTATCTATCTATCTACATTATCTATTTATCTTCATTATCTATTTATCTACATTATCTATCTATCTATCTATCTATCTATCTATCTATCTATCTATCTATCTATCTATCTATCTATCTATCTATCTATCTATCTATCTATCTATCTATCTATCTATCATCCATCTATCCAGTTCTCAATACATATATAAGCTTGCATGTTTGCACCCTAGATGGCTTTATGGGAGATCTATTAGTTCACTGATGATTGTATGTCAGTCTTTGCAGAAACATACATAAAATTGCTGGTTAGACCCAAGGAAGCTGCTAGGAAATTACAAGATTTTTCCAGTCTATCCTTTTTGTTTGTTTGTTTGTTTTTTTCCCAATGGATGCTTCTAATATTTGTCCCAGTGATCTTAAAGAAATCTAAAGGACTTGTTGCATGGAAGTCATTTTTGCCTCAACAAGTATTTAGCTTTCTTAGGTACCAAGCTGAGATTAAATGGAAGTGATAGGAATAAGTCCGCTTGTAGAGTTCTCCAATACTTATTTCCAGTTTCCAATGTGGTGGTGCCTTTTGCCTACTTGCAATGTAATACATTAGCACATTTAAGGTAGCACTTATGTGCTGTCTTGAAATCCTTCATCCAGATAATCCATTCCACTTATCTAATGTGTAAAGAGCAGCTCATGGTAGTCGTAGGAACTTTCTGATCACAAGTCAAAACATGATCTCTGTCAATAGTGATGTAACCAGAAGTAAAGGCCTTGAGGCTTACTAGGACTCCTACCTCTTTCCCTGTTTCATAATTCACAGCTCAGATCTCATTTTCTCCCTGTTTGAGGGAAGAATATGACCTAATAGCTAGGAGATGAGAAATACAGGTGAATTATTTTCTCTGACGTTTGAGAAATTCATCTTCAAGAGGTGCTAACTTGTATATGGCTGTCAAGATGCTTTCAGATGGTTGCCCATTGCTTGGAACATCTTGACTGGATCCACCTATCATGCTAAGCCACAAAGTCTGGTTAACCAAACATAGGTTCTGCCTTCATATAACATTCTAGCCCCCCACCCCCACCTCAATGAAGCATATTATAGCATATTATAGCTTAGCAGGATGGCTTGATTGAAGCTGGTGTTCACTCGTTGATAAACCAAAAGCTCCATTGTGGTTCAACTGAGCATGTTGGTCAACCATTGGTTGTTTATGAACCTAATCTTGCCATGTGCAAATTGTGCTTCATGAGGCGGTGTTATAAGTGAACTAGATTGGATGAACCCACAGCTAACTTAAAGCATGGTTTAGTTCAGGGGTAGTCAACCTTGGCTCTTTTATGACTCGTGGACTTCAACTCCCAGAATTCCTGAGCCAACTGTGCTGGCTCAAGAATTCTGGGAGTTGAAGTCCACGAGTCATAAAAGAGCCAAGATTGACTACCCCTGGTTTAGTTGAACAAGGGTGAACGCTGATATTCAGGTGCTCAGTGAGTTAAAACCGGCATCTACCACTACTTTTGAAAGGGGACCCAACCTATGTTTTATTAGTTCTAATCTCTCTTTTGTTTCTACAGGCATGACAGTAGAGGTCCTTGGAACAGTCCTAGGAACAGCCATCCAAGGACAAATTGTGGGGAAAGTAAATACCCCTTGTATTTCCGACCCACCTTTCTTGAACACGAACAATTCTTCAGTGGTCTTAGAAGAGGTCAACATCACCCATGACACTGGTTCACTCTCTGATACGGTATGAATCCTTATGGAGAATTTCATGTTTTCACTACAATGCGGTCAAGCTACGTTTCTCAACCTCAGCAAGTTTAAGATGAGTGGACTTCAGTTGAAATCCACTCATCTTAAACTTGCTGAAGTTGAGAAACATTGTGGTAAAGGTTTGGCTGAAGCCTGGTTTGGATTTCTCAACTCAAGGAGGAGTTGAGAAAAAGATAATCTTTGTTTTTGTTGCTGCTTTGCCTGGTTAACCAAAGAGAAAAGACTGATGTTCTGGCTTTAGAGGTGGAATGTCATAGAGTATCTTTTCCTTGGGAACAAAAATGGGAGACAGCTGTTGTTCAACGTCTTGTTCATTCCAGAAGGCAGTTGGGAACAGCTCAAACCAAGATCAAAGATCAAATCTTCTTTGGTTCTTGGTTGCCAAAGGTGTTCTGCTAAGCTCCACATAAGATGCTTCAACTAGTTATTAGCCCTCTCATTTTGGGTTTCCACATACGTTGAATCCAAAGCTAATTAAATGGGTAGATGTGGTCAACATGCTTAGCCCCAACAAGCTAACCCATGTCAAAATGGATCCTCCTTAAAGGCTTAGTGTGCAAATGCAGTCACTGAGTGTGTTGCTGACCAAGTTGTTTTGGTCATTTAGAAATGTTGGTGGTGTAAATTTTGTTGACTCTTTAGAGAAACAATATTATTGATATATAGTTCCTCAGATTTAGCGACTAATCTGCAGATCTTGTAACATCAACACCAGGATGTCTTTTTTAACCAAAGTTTGATTTTATCCTGGAGAATTGTTGGGATTCTGGGATTATGGATACTGATTAATAGTTTAATTTGTAAAACACTATGAACAAGATGAAAAATCCACCTCTTAATGGTTCTGGGGACCATCATTTAGCTAAAATGCTTACTAACCCAAACCAGGTCACTATGAATTGTGGAACCAATCGTGTTTAAAATAATGGTTTACTTCAGTGCGTGAAACCAACCAGGATGTTTGTTATGTTGCTGAAATTTTGTATCATACCCCAGTCAAATTCTCCGGGTGCCTTATATATAAGAAACTGCTTTTAACTGAATTTCTTTGGACTTGGGGGATGGCTGGAGGCCATAATAAATGAAAAACAAAATTGAAACTGCTTTGGGAAGGAATATTATACTGTTACTGTTCATAAAATAAATTGTTATAAATACTGTTTATAAATAAATACTGTTCATATAGCAATAATGACAGTTGAAGGCTGCTCTCCTTTCCAGTAGACCATAAAACATTTTTAATACTTCATGGCCAAGGACAGGGAGTCCTCAACTTACGATGATTTGTTTAACAACAGTCCAAACTTACAATAGTGCTAAAAAAATGACTTATGACTCATTCTCGAAGTTATGACCATCACACTACATCAGGGGTCTTCAAACTTGGCCCATTTATGACTTGTGGACTTCAACTCCCAGCCTATGCTGGCTGAGGAATTCTGGGAGTTGAAGTCCACAAGTCAGAAAAGGGCCAAGTTTGAAGACCCCTGCACTACATGGTGTGGTGTGTCACATGATTGCAATTTGGATGCTTAGCAACTGACTCGCATTTACAACAGTTGCAGCATCCAGTCATGGGAGTTGCAATCTTCCCAGTTGACTTCCAACAAGCCGGGAAGGCAGAATTATTTAACGACTGCATCATTCATTTCGTTTCCACATGATTCACTGAACAGCCCTAATAAAAATGGTCATAAAATTGACCTAAGCATCAGCTAGTGATCAAAATTCCAGTCCTCATTGTGGTTGTAAGTCAAGGAATATTTCTAAGCATCCAGTGATGCTTTTCTACAAAGATTTCCTACTTGCAGTATTGATCTCATTTGACATGTTCCTTTTTTTTCACCGTTCTTTCCATCCTTTTACAGAGAAATGCCTATATGATTGCAGCCGGGGTCATTGGTGGGATTTATATTCTTTGTGCTGCCATTCTGTCTCTAGGCGTGCGGGAAAGGCAAGGTAAGCCAACTTCATCAACTCATGTCATGCAATATTATGAATTATGTATTCCCAACTATGGCGACTTCTACGTGTGTGGACTTTAATTCCCTAATAGCAGGTGCAAATAACTGGGTGCATTCGTTGAGTTCGAAGCATAGAAGAGTTTAGTGTTGCTATTGCTACCTATACACAAGAATCTAGTCAATGACTGGTCAAAGCTAATTTGGCACTAGATAAGGGACAATGGAATTCAAGGGGGGATGAACTTGGCTCTTTTGTGACAATGCAAGGACTTCAAACTTATGACACATTTAACCCCACCTTCTATTTCAGCTTGCTCTTCTCCTACACCAAAATTCCTCAGTTGGCATTGCCTTGCTTAGAATTCTGGAAATAGAAGTTCACACAAATTGCCAAAGTTGGGGTAACCTGGCTTAGATACACCTCTCTAGAGGGCTAGACTAGACTAGACTAGACTAGACTAGACTAGACTAGACTAGAATAGAATAGAATAGAATAGAATAGAATAGAATAGAATAGAATAGAATAGAAGGTACCTTGGAGGTCTTCTAGTCCAGCCCCCTGCTTAAGCAGGAGAACCTATACCATCTCAGACAGGTGAACGTCCAATCTCCTCTTGAAAATCTCCAGTGATGGAGCACCCACGATCTCTGGGGGTAAGCTGTTCCACTGGTTGATTGTCCTCACTGTCAGGAAGTTTCTCCTTAATTCCAGGTTGCTTGTCTCTTTGATCAGTTTCAAACCACTATTTCTTGTCCTTCCCTCTGGTGCTTTGGTGAACAACCTGGCACCCTCTGCCTTGTGGCAGCCCCTCAGATACTGGAACACTGCTATCATGTCTCCCCTATTTCTTCTTTTCTTTAGACTAGCCAAACCCAAGTCCCTTAGCCGTTCTTCGTATTTTTAGTCTCGAGGCCTTGGATCATCTTAGTAGCTCTTCTCTGAATTTTTTTCCAAACTCTCAACATCTTTTTTGTGATATGGTGACCAAAATTGGCTGCAGTATTCCAGGTGTGGTCTTACTAGGGTTTTATAAAGCGGCAATTTTACTTCACGTGATCTTGATTCTATGCCTCTGTTTATACAACCCAGGATTGTATTAGCTTTTTTGGCTGCTGTTGCAAACTGCTGGCTCATAGTCAAGTGATCGTCCACTAGGACTCCAAGATCCGTCTCACAGTTGCTATTTTTAAGCCAGGTCTCACCCAATCTGTATTTGTACCTTTGGTTTTTCCTGCCTAAATGTAGGACTTTGCTTTTCTCCACATTGCAACTCATTTTGTTGAATCTTGAAAGTGAAAGACTCAGCCCAGTTGGTTGAGTCACTGAGGTCAAACAGATGTGAATCCATAATTTGAGTCACCTGCTAATATAATATATTGCATCGATGAGGGAACATTGTGGTGTACATGGACACCTCTGTGGAAGCCTACAAGATCCTGACCATCTGACTTCAACATTTTGTTAAATATGCTTTTACTTTAAAAGAAGGAAATGAATAGGAATCTAATCATGCCAGCAATTATTTATTTCGGTCCTGCCTTTCCTCTGAGTGTGCAAAGAGTGTTACACAGGAGTTGTCCCCAAGAGTATTTCCGCAACTACAATCCTGGAAAGTAGATTGGACTTGAGTGGGAGAAAGACTGGCTCAGAGTCATTCAAGGGACCCATGATTTAACGGGGAGCTGAATTTGTCAAGTGGGGAGATCCATCATCCACATCCCTACCTTCCTTTAATCCCGGCCAATCACTTCAATCTTTTTAGGGGGCATGCAATTTCCTTCAGGATAGACACTTTCTAAAGATATCTACACCATTCTTTCACAAGTGTTCTCTGGCCCCAAAGACACACCCTGATGACATCCTTCTAATTAAGGGTGGAATTTTTTTTTCTCTCTTGCTGGATACCGGAGGCACGTTCAGTATCGCTACTCCTACCGATTATGTCAACAGACCCGTTGGTGGGTTACAAAAGTCGCTTGCTTACTCCTTGGGCCATCCTGATTGTAACTTTCTCTCCAGCGGCCCCTCCGGTTTAGGACCTGAGTGAACACTGAGGGAGAAAATGACTGTCTTGTGCAAGAGTTGGGATTGCATAAACCTGTCGTGGCTTTTCTCAGCTTCTCTCTCATGAGGCAACCCCACATTCTGGTTCTAACCAGCCACTGGGAAGCAGAAATTGGTTCACTCCCTGGACGTGTTCTCTGCTTTGTCTTCTGGGGGACGTGACATCCTCTTCAACCTCCTGAAGGGAAGCACCCTCTCAAGCCCACGGTGGCATGGAGGCCTCGTCTGGAGGATGCTTATCAAAAGAGCCACTCCTCTTGAACAAATATTTCTTGATGCCTCGCCCTTATCCACACACTCCACATCTGAGAAATCCTCCTTAGTGTTCCTTGAAGGGAAAAGCCGTATCACCTGATGAGCAATATTAAGATTAGCCGAGAGGGGAACTTTGATGGGCAAACTGCCAAAGATAAGGCTGATAGGATGAGGTCATCAAAAGATTGGGCTGGATCATCTGGCACACATTAGCTAAAGATAGCACGCATTTGTTCCACTATAGATAATCCTCAACTCACAATCCTTTGTTTAGCAACTGGCACGGAGAAAAGTCACTTACAACCGGTCGTTGCCTTTATGAGAGTTGCAACATCCCCACGGTCACGTGTTCAAAATGGAGGCACTTGGCATTTACAAAGGTTGCAGGGGTGACACGGTCGCCACTGGCGACCTGCCCAGGCAGCTTCCAATGAGGAAATCGATGGAGGAAGCTGGATTCACTTAACAAAAATGGCAATTCTGTTGTTAGTTGCGAAGTTGTGTCCGACCCATCGCGACCCCATGGACAATGTTCTTCCAGGCCTTCCTGTCCTCTACCATCTTCTGGAGTCCATTGAAGCTCACGCCTCCTGCTTCAGGGACTCCATCCAGCCACCTCATTCTCTGTCGTCCCCTTCTTCTCTTGCCCTCAGTCTTTCCCAGCATTAGGCTCTTCTCCAGTGAGTCCTTCCTTCTCATTAGGTGGTCAAAGTACTTGAGTTTCAACTTCAGGATCTGGCCTTCTAAAGAGCAGTCAGGGTCGATCTCCTCTAGGACTGACCGGTTTGATCGCCTTGCAGTCCAGGGGACTCGCAGGAGTCTTCTCCAGCACCATAGTTCAAAGGCCTCCATTCTTTGGCACTCAGCCTTTCTTATGGTCCAACTTTCACAGCCATACATTGCAACTGGGAAAACCAAATGGCAATAAAAGATTGCAAAGTCAGATGTGATTCACTTAATAACCACCCTGGGAAATTCTAGTCCCCATTGTGGGTCATAAGTTGAGGACCCTCTATTTCTAAATGTCTACAGAGATTCTCAATCATCCTCCAGGTCACATTGTCCCAGAGGTGCTTTTCCAAAAGGCAACTGGACTTTCTTAAATTTTTTTTTTCCTTGAAAAAGTTTCGCTTCTCATCCAGGAAGTGAACTGGATGAGAAGTGAAATGTTCTCAAAGAAAAAAACCCAAGGAAGTCCAGTTGCCTTTTGGGAAAGCAGCCTGTATCTACTTTGTCTCAAATATTTTTGCATGGATTTTGTCTTTGCCTTTGTTTCCCCCACGGTAGAGAATGGGATGGGCTGAAGGAAATGAACACTGAACAAACGCAGTTCAGGGAAAACCCTTGAACAGCCCTGTTGCATAAGGGGTGTTTGCGTCATTCTTAAGTTTTGTATTATTAGGGGAAAGAGTGAAAATGTCTAGGTTTCACTCTAGACTTATAAAAAGAAGACTCTCCCACGAATCTGCTGGTTTGAGTTCATTCCTACAATGGAGGAAGGGCTCATTCAAGGCAATTGTCCTCTTAAACGTTTTTGGACATCTTCCTCTTCCTCTGGCTGGCAAAATTAGGATAAATTATGCAAACTGGAACAATTATGGAATTACACAGCACATGAAAAATAAGAAATGGTATGTCCTAGACCTAGAAATATGGTAGCGAAACATGTACGATCCAGAACATCCATGGAAGAGAAGATCGTCACCTGCTTCTTGTGTTTTGCTCCACAGAGTCTTCTGAACTTCAATCTGCTGAGCCCGTTTCCTTCTTCCAAGGTTTGAAGCTGGTTATGAAACATGGACCCTACATCAAGCTGATTGCGGCTTTCCTATTCACCTCCCTCGCTTTCATGGTGAGAAAATCTTGCCCATCACACCTTCTAGACTTCTTCATCGCATGTTTTTTTTTTAACTAGAGCAAAAAGTGAACCAACACCCGCCCAGTCCTTGAACTTGCTTGGAACACATTTACTAGATATACAGGTTGTCCTTGACTTACAATCATTCATTTAGTTTAAAGTTACAACAACACTGAAAAGAGTGACAATTGGTCCTCGTTCTTACAAGTGTTGCAGCATCCTCATAGTCATGTAATCAGAATCCAGGGCACTTGGTAACCTGCCTGTGTTTACAATGATTGCAGTGTCCCAGGGTCAAGTGATCACCATTTGTGACCTTCCCAAATGGCTTCTGACAAGCAAAGTCAACAGGGGAAGCTGATTCACTTAACAACTGCATGGTTCACTTAACATCCATAGCAAAAAGGGTAATAAAATTGGGCATGACTCACTTAACAACTGCCTTGCTTAGCAACAGAAATTCTTGCCCCAATTGTGGTGATAAGTCGAGGATCTTTTGCATCTAGAGCTGGGTCCCCAACGCCCGGTCCGTGGACCAGTACCGGGCCGGGGCATGCCAGCAACCAGGCCACACAAACAAGCAGAGCCCCATCCTCAAGATGAAGGCAGCACACAAAACCACACCCCCTCTGGTCCGCGGAAAAACCTCACTCCACGGAACCGGTTTCTGGTGCCCAAAAGGTTGAGGACCTCTGATCTAGAGTACTTCCTAAATGGATCCCAGATTTTTCTTCTCAATGTTTAACCTAGAAATGTCTAAACCAGGGGTAGGCAACCTTGGCTCTTTTATGACTCGTGGACTTCAACTCCCAGAATTCCTGAGCCAGCCACTCTGAGGGGAAAGGGAGAGGTTTCCAAGCTGAGCTATGCTGACTCAGGAATTCTGGGAGTTGAAGTCCACGAGTCATAAAAGAGCCAAGGTTGCCTACCCCTGGTCTAAGCTCTGGTTGATAAGCCCATTTTGATTATCTGGAGAAAGTTGAAGGACCCTACATGTTCTGAATCTAGATGCTCCCTAAGAATGCCCACGGCCTCAACATTTTGGAGAATGTACTGCCCAAAGAACAGGGATGACGCTGAGGTCGCTGCTCAGCTAAATACTTCTGCTCTGTTGTTTGCTTCCAGTTCAATAATGAACAATGAATTCCACTTCCCACCCTTCGGCTCTCTTCTCTGCTTCCCTGTCCTTAAGTAGTCAAAACAAAGATCTGTATTCTTTGCTTCTGGAATTTTACAGAGTAGTGTTTTTCTCAACCTTGGCATCGTTACGATGAGTGCGGACTTCAACTCAACATAATTTTTGGATTAGGGAATTCTGGGACTTGAAGTCCACGCATCTTAAAATTGCCAGGATTAAGAAACACTGTCCTAGAAGAACTTTAATCTGATAAAAAAAATTTTTTTTTGCCAATTACCATCTTTTCTCCTTGCCAAAATGCTCCTGCTTTTTTCCAATGACATCTCTTGTTTCTTCTCAGCTGTTGGAAGGAAATTTTGCCTTGTTCTGCACTTACACCTTGGGATTCCGCAACGAGTTCCAGAACATTCTGCTCGCCATCATGGTATGTATTCTGCAAGGCATGCAATGACTTCCCTCCTTCCTTCCTTCCTTCCTTCCTTCCTTCCTTCCTTCCTCCCTCCCTCCCTCCCTCCCTCCCTCTCTCTCTTTCTTTCTTTCTTTCTTTCTTCCTCTTTCTCTTTTCTTTTCTCCTTTTCCACACTTTCTACTGTCTCTGGCATGAAGAGAGGGAGTTATGATGGAGGTAGGCTGGTGGTCCAGAGTCTCCTTGGTTACAAGCCTCCAATGACAGCTGGAGAATCCAGTTCTTTAGTCCATCTACCCCATTTTGCAGCGTGAGAACAGGATGTGGCTTTATCTCAAAGCATAATTATAATTTAATGCCATAAGACTGTATTGACACAGGCATAGCTGGCTCAGTTGCAAACCTCACGGCTGATGTTGTATAACCTATTAAGCTTGCTTGGTTAGTTTGTGTGTGGTTTAGAGCATTGGGTAAACTTAGTTCATCTGATTAGTTTATAGTTCAATATACTTTCTCAGCTGCAAAGTTGGATTATTTATTTATTGCCAGTATTGATCCTAGTGGACTTTGGGTGGGCCTACCATATCATGAAACCTAATACAAGAATGCAGCGAAGACCCCATAATGAGGCACTGAAGGAAAACGTACGGCAAATTCAAAAGCTAATCCAAAGAGAGGTGTTTAAACGCATTTGCCAAAGCCAGCAAGGTTCACACCACCCATATTCCAAATAGTATGATGGGAACAAGGTGGGTGGGGGGGGCTCTTTGAGTAATGTTTTCAGTAACTAGGAATGCCTTTGATTAATGTTTCTAGTTCTTTGAAATAACATGTTCCAAACTCTATGTTTGAGCTTTATATAAACTGATTCTCTTTTAGGGGTCCCTCATCTTGTAACGGTGAGGTGCCTCCCTTTATTTATGCATAAATAAAGAGATGTTGATCTATTTTTCCAGCTCGGATCCTATTTAGGAAAGGCAGATGAGGCTAATGAATCTTGCCGGCATTTGGGCTAAAAAAAATAGGGCTTCATCCTTGGTCTGTGAATCTCAGGTCCTCTACAGCAGGGGTCCCCAACCTTGGCAACTGTAAGACCTGTGGACTTCAACTCCCAGAATTCCCCAGCCAGCATAGCTGGCTGGGGAATTCTGGGAGTTGAAGTCCACAGGTCTTACAGTTGCCAAGGTTGGGGTCCCCTGCTCTACAGAGACATCTAGATCACAGATCAGATCTGGTCTTTGCTGGCAAGGCATCACCCAATAGATCCCAGGGTTGAGCTGTTTAGTACAGATAGTCCTTGACTTACAACCACTTGTTTAGTTTGAAGTTACAACGGCACTAAAAAAAATAAGTTATGACTGTCTTTCACACTTACGGCCGTTGCAGCATCCCCATGGTCACGTGATCAAAAGTCAGATGCCTGGCAACTGGCATGTTTTTATGACAGTTGCAGTGTCCCGGGGGTCATGTGACCACTTTTGACGACCTTCTGACGAGCATGGTCAAAGGGGAAGCCAGATTCGCTTAACTACCATGTTATTAATTTAAAACCTGCACTGATTCACTTAACTATTGCGCCAAGAACTTCTTCTTGTGCCATATCTGTTATTGGACGTTGGCAATCATGTTGGCGATCCTGTTTTTATCAGCAGCCGCACGAAAAAGTGCTGCTGAGTTTTGTCCAAACCAGTCCCTTAGATTTTGAAGCCACGATGTTCTTCTTCTGCCTGGACCTCGTTTGCCTTCCATCTTTCCATGGAGGATTAAATGGAGTAGGCCGTATTTTTCTGGGTGTTGCATCACATGTCCGAAATATTCTAATTTTCGTTTTTTAATTGTTTTGATGATTTTCCTTTGGCTTTCCCAGGCGGCTTATCCCCTCCTCATTTCTGATCTTGTCAACCCAGCTTCTACGTAACAGCCGCCTGTAAATCCACATTTCAAATGCTTCTAGTCTCTTCAGGTGGCCTTCTGTCAGAGACCGACTCTCTACTCCATAGAGCAGGATAGGAAAAAATATAGCATCTGACAAGCCTGATTTTCAGTCTTAGGCTTCTGTCGTGACTGCAGAAGACCTTTTTCATTTTGAAGAATGCTGTTCGGGCTTTCTCTATCCTTGTCTTTACTTCGGTGGTCATGTCCCAGCGCCAAGAACGATTGTAAAAATGGGACAAAACTCACTTAACAACTGTTTTGCTTAGCAATGGAAACGTTGGGCTCCATTGTGGTCGTAAGTCGAGGACTACCTGTATCAAAGTTAAGAGAGTCGTGGGTGACTCTACCCAGAAGTATTTCAGCAAGGGGACTGGAGGGCATTAAGGGGAAACCATCCTTAAAGAAGGCTAGCCCAGGCAATTAACCCTCTTTCTGGAAAGATAGAGTCGGTGATCACAAACAAGGCTTTCTTTGTGTGCGCTTTTAGAGCTGGTCTGAAAAGAGACAAGAGACAAAAAGCAGGCTGGTTTTTTATCCAAAGCCTGCCATCCTCTCTCCCCCCACCCCTTAATCATGAGAAAAAAGCCGGCTTGATCAGGAAGAGGCTCTGAATGGAATTCTTGGAGCCAAATTGTCTGAGAAGGCCTGAACAGGAGGAGATGGGAAAGCAGAAAAGATCAGAGTCTCTGCCAAGCTAGGAATGAGTAGAAACCCCCTTGTATTTCCAAGCACGGAGGAAAATAGCCCATTTGGGGGGGGGGATCTACCAAATGCACTGGATCCTAAACTAATCAAACCGTCTGGCGGGGGGGGCGAGAGATCCAATATCCAAAGCCATCAAAATGTACAACATGCTTTTAAAAAAACAACAAACCAACACCACTTTGCAGGTCACCTGAAGGGAGGACTCTGAACTGTAGCTGAGAGCGGACCTCAGATTTAGCGCTGCAAACTCCCAGCCATCATTTGCTAATTTGCTTTCTTTTCCCACATTCTCAGAAAACATGCTTGTTTCCCTCCCCCACGCGCGCGCACACACGCACACACACGCACAGACATACACCCATTCCAAGCTTTCCCAAGTCAATTAAAAACCTAGTGCCAAATTTGAGAAGTTTGTTTTGCTTTGAGCTTGCCTTGGGTTTTTGATGCCTTTAGATATTGCATTTACCCAGCCTCTCTGATTAATTTATGGTCCAGTGCATTCTTCATAACCCCCAAAGTTAGCTTTAATTCAAGACCAGTGGTGGGATTCAAATATGTGAACAACTGGTTCTCTGTGTGGATGCCGCTTCCGGAAGTCCATTCTGGGCCTGGGCAACAAAAAATTAGCTGCCGGTTTTGCCGAAGTGGTGCGAAGTGGCTGAATCCCACCACAGGAAGGAAGGGAGGAAGGAAGGAAGGAAGGAAGGAAGGGAGGGAGGGAGGGAGGGAGGGAGGAAGGAAGGAAGGAAGGAAGGAAGGAAGGAAGGAAGGAAGGAGTGGTGGGATTCAAATACGTGAACAACTGGTTCTCTGTGTGGGTGCCACTTCCGGAAGTCCATTCTGGGCCTGGGCAACAAAAAATTAGCTACCGGTTGTACCGAACTGGTGCGAACTGGCTGAATCCCACAGGAAGGAAGGAAGGAAGGAAGGAAGGAAGGAAGGAGTGGTGGAATTCAAATACGTGAACAACCGGTTCTCTGTGTGGATGCCACTTCCGGAAGTCCATTCTGGGCCTGGGCAACAAAAAATTAGCTACCGGTTCTGCCGAAGTGGTGCGAACCGGCTGACTCCCACCACTATGCTTGGACACTGGGTGTTTGGAACATGGCCAAAGGGTCCCTCTTATGCACAAGCAGTAGGGTGTCTATAAAGGGAAGCAACATGAGATGTGTGGGCACTGATGTGATCCAACCACTATTAGTGTCTCTCATATAGTCCGTGACTAACAGCCACAATTGGGGCCAGACTTTCCACCGCTGAAAAAGGTGGTTTCTCACTGAGTTGAGGCCAATCTTTTGCAAAGGTTGTTAAGCGAACCACTGCAACTGTTAGTGAACCAGGAGGTTGTTAAGTGAATCCACCTTCTCCTATTGTCTTAGCTTCCCGAAAGCCAGTCGGGAAAGTTGCAAAGGGCGATCCTCTGACCTTGGGATGCTGCAACTGTCATAAATAACATGCCAGTTGGCAAGGGTCTGAATTTTGTTCGCATAATTATGGGGAGGCTGTGTCGGTCGCAAGTGAGAGGAGCGGTTGTAAGTCACTGTTGTAACTTGGAATGGTCTCTAAAAGAACGGTCGTAAATTGAAGACTACCTGTGCTTCTTACTCCCTTGTGAATCTTTAGGATCAAAACCACAGGGTGCATCCCAGATGAAAGTTTCTCCTCCGTTTTTTGTTTTTTTTAAATTTTTATTATTTAAACCAACAAAACAAAACATAACACACATATATACACAGTATATATTTTAACAGCAATTTCGTAACAGTAATCTTCTATTATTTACTTTCCCCCCCCCCTTATTCTTCTTTAGAGTATTTGTCCTTGTTGCCCCATTATTTCTTATTTGCATTTTTCTTCCTTCATACATTATTATACACACATTTTCCACTTTTAACCTTTCCACATTTATTCTCTCTTATTTCTACTCTCCAGTCAGTCATACCACTTGTTCCATATTAAATAATATTCTGTGTCTTCCTTTTCTTTTATCTCTTTTGTTAATTTGTCCATCTCAGCACAGTCCAGGATTTTCTTTATCACTTCTTCCTCTGATGGTATATTCTCCGTTTTTTATTTCAAATGTGGTCGGACGGTTACCACTCCAGGCAGGAAGAGAGGGTTCAATTTCCCACATTAAAAAAAATAAATAAATCTCTCCATCTGTCTTCGATGAGAATGTCACACCAGGCAGGGAGAGGCTAATATGCAAGTTTTTCTGTATGCAGAGCTGCTTGCCACCTCCCCACTGAGGCTTTTTGCTGTCCAGAATTCTGAGATGCTATTAATATGTAGAGCAGCCTTTGGGAAGAGCCAAGCTGAGTGGGAATAGCGGCTTCAAAGCAGCCGTGTTTTGGGTTTTTTTTAGCTCATTCCTATGGACGTCAACGGCTAAACTTTTATCTTTTAGGCAGTCTGGTCATGAATGGAAGAGAAACTGTTGAGGAACGTTTAGGCTCTTTCAGTCAAAGAGCCATTGCAATCCCCAGCTCTCCCCCCACCCCACCCCGCCGCCACCCTTCCCTGGGAGATTAAGACTTTGTCTGGGCCACAGCCGCAGGAGAATGAAAAGTCGGGGGGCTCTGCTATCAGAAGCGTCCTTGCATTATTCAAAGAGTAGATGGCCAATCTCTTCTCACGCTTTGCTTTTTGTTTTTCCCCTGGATATGATTCCAAACAAAGCTCTGGTTTGCTAACAGCTGCCATTTATATTCTCTTAAGAATGCTTATGCCAGTCCAAGGGCGTGATTGAATATACCGATGACGCGAGACTCAAAGAGGGGAGGGAATTGCTTTGAATTGAAACAGGCCCGTATCTCTCTTTTTACATCAGGGAAGGGAAAAAAACTTTTTCACAAACGGCAGGTGGAGCAAAGAGTTTGGCAGGCACGAAAGAAGGGATCACGCTGCTTTCCTATTTCAGCCTACGGCCCTTGTGACTTTTTCATAGAGCACATGCTTAGTGTGTTCTCATAACATAATAATAATAATAATAATAATAATAATAATAATAATAATAATAACAACAACAACAACAACAACAACAACAAAATACAAAGACCTAGAAATAGAAATAGAAATAGAAAGACTGTGGCAAAAGCAAGCAAGTACCAATAGTAATAGGCGCCTTGGGTGCAATCCCAAAACAACTGGAGCACCACTTGAACACCATCATCGGCATTGACAAATTTGCCATTAGTCAATTGCAAAAGGCAGCCTTACTAGGAACAGCTTCCATCCTGCGACGAGATCTGTAACACCATCAAACATCCACATCTGCCTATCCCAGGTCCTTGGTAAGGACTCGAAAGGTAGACAAAAATGCCAAATCCAGTCTGAACATCTGGTTGACTGTGCGATGATCCATAATAATAATAATAATAATAATAATAATAATAATAATAATAATAATAATAATAATAATAATAATAATAATAATAATAATAATAAAGTTGGAAGGGACCTTGGAGGTCATCTAGTCCAACCCCCTGCTCAGACAGGAAAGGCTATATTATTTCAGACAAATGGCTGTCCAGTCTCTTCTTAAAAACTTCCAGTGTTGGCGCATTCACCGCTTCTGGAGGCAGGTTGTTCCACTGGTTAATTGTTCTCACTGTCAGGAAGTTTCTCCTTAGTTCTAGGTTGCTTCTCTCCTTGATTAGTTTCCATCCATTGCTTCTTGTCCTGCCTTCAGGCGCTTTGGAGAATACCTTGACCCCCTCTTCTTTGGGGCAGCCCCTGAGATATTGGAACACTGCTATCATGTCCCCCCTCGTCCTTCTCTTCATGCTTCACTTGTGCCTGAATTAGCCCGTTTCCTGAACATAAACTAAAACTAAAATTAAACCTAAAGAAGAATAACTGACTAAGGCAAAATTAATGGTTAATCTCTGACTCCCTCATATCATGGAACTTAAATTCCCTCTTTGGGAAATCAAAATCTGCTTCCAGTCTACAGGTAACCCTTGACTTACTGTATCACCATTCATTTAGTGATTGTTTGAAGTTCCCACAGCATTGAAAAAAGGAACTTGGATGGTTTTTCACATGGATGACCGTGGTAGCATCCCCATGGTCATGCGAGATCAAAATTCAGACGCTTGGCAACTGACTCATATTTATGACGGTCACAGTGTCCCAGGGTCATGTGATCACTTTTGGTGACCTTCTGACAAGCAAAGTCAATGTGGGAGCCGGGTTCACGTAGCTGTTTAAGCATTAACTAACTTAACTGCAGTGATTCACTTAAGAACTGTAGCAAGAAAGGTCATAACATGGTCATAAGTTGAGGATTGTCTGCAGTCAACAGTTTCAGCCTCTTTGTTTCTCTTCTCTATGACTAAGTAGGAAGAGAGGGAAGATTATTTTATTGTTATATGGAAATTTCTATCCAGGCTAGCTCAAAGAGTAAGACGCAGCCTCCCAAGAGTAAGAGAAAGTGAATATTAGCCTGTTCAAATGGGGAAATGTTTGTGTATGTAGTTAATTGTTTTAGTGCATTATAAGATGCAAATAATATGTGAAAGAATGCAGATAGCTCAGTAGAGAAACAATTGTGAAATATAAACTAGAAATTGTTAACTGTGCTAATTTGGATAGCTTAAACCTTTAAAGTTAAGGGGGGGAGTTTATATCAACGTTAACTATAATTCTGAAATGTTAATGAACTTAAGGTTGCTTGAATTGTACAATTAAAAACAAGTGGCATTAATAGCCTGCTGCAAAAGGCATACAATTATTTTATAACATAATAAAGATTTGTATCTTGGGCTTGGTACACTGTAATATGATTTATTGTTGTTTATATGAGTATTAAAAAGGGAAAAAAGAATAAAACCAAGAGAAAAGGAAAGGAAAAAAAATGCTTGAAAAAATAGGCCACTTCCTCTTTGTTTTATTATCTGTTTGTTTTTGGTGCCTTTGAGTCAATTTTTGACCCTGGTGACTTCCTGCAGTTTTCTCGACAAGATTTTCAGAAGTGGTTTGCCATTGTCTCCTTCCTAGGGCTAAGTGACAGGGACTGGCTCAAGATCACCCAGTTGGCTTTGTGCCTAACGTTGGACAAGTCTCCCAGTTCTTAACCACTATACCAAACTGGATCTCTCCCTTCTTTTTGCTCCAAATGATTTACAAACACGGATCTGGAAAGAGTTTCCACTTTCTGCACCTTTTAATTGACAAAGCTTGACAGCAACCCATGTGTGCAAAAAATGAGGGAAAGAGTGGGCATTGCTCCAAGGTAATTAGAGCAGCAGATTTTTCACACATGGCATTTTAGGCTGCCACAAAATCCATGCAAAGTCATCTTCTGGTTGACTTACGTGCAGGTAGTCCTCGACTTGCGATGGTCCTCGTATAATGACGAGGTGCTGACGTTATGACGGTGCTGAAAAAAATGACTTACCACCGGTGCTCACACTTACGACCATTGCAGCAGCCCCATGATTATGTGATCACAATTCAAGTGCTTGGCAACTGGCTTGTATTTACGACGGTTGCCGTGTCCCGAGGTTACGCCGATCACCATGGGCAGCCGGTTTCTGAGAAGCAAAGTCAATGAGTGGAACCAGATTTGCTTAATGACGATGTGATTCACTTAACAAATGCAGTGATTCGCGTAACAACCATGGCCAAAATGTCGTAAAATGGCCTGTGATTCACCTAACCATGCCTTGCTTAAGCACAGAAATGGTGGTTTTTTGTAAATCAAATATTACCTATAACAAACTTTCTTTCCTTCCTGTTTTGTTGTTCTCTTGCAGCTCTCAGCCACCCTGACCATCCCCTTCTGGCAGTGGTTCCTTACCCGTTTTGGGAAGAAAACTGCGGTTTACATTGGCATCTCGGTGAGTGAATACCGCTAGTTCTCATCTTATGACTGTTCACTTAGTGGCCATTCAAAGTTACAACAGATCCCCTGACTTAGTTTCAATGTTATGATAACTGCTCCCCCCCCTCTCATGGTCATGTTACAAGGTGACCCACTTAGGAAGGACCCACTTAACGACTGGCACAATTTATGCCTGTGAATCTGAGCTCAGTTATGGTTTTAGGTCAAGGGCTACCTGTAGTGAGGAAGCAAGGTAAACCTATTACCTGCTTAGGTAACTTCTGAAAGAGGCCTCTATGAAAATCATTCAAATAATGATTCAAAGACAGGCATCTGTGAGAGGTAAGCCTCGTGCAGGGCTTTCTCTGGGGCCTGTTAATGGTGCAACAGAAACTGGAAGTTCCTTTTGGAAACATCACTTTTTGGACAGGGCTAAGACCTGTTAGCAGGACCATCCTGGTCCCAGGTGTACCCTATTTATATTTCCAGAGGACAAACCCTGAGGACTTGACTGTGACAATCTCAGATAGGATGGTGCCCATACCTTTCTCGTGGGTGGATGCAATAGCCTTGTGTGCAAAACAGGCTAAGAGATTGTGTGGTTGGTTCCATTTTGCTAGGAGCATCCTGGGAGCATCTGTGTACCCAGCCGTGCTATAGACAGTGGTGATTTAGAGCAGGGCTCTCCGGACTTAGCAATGTGAAGACCTGTAGACATCAACTCCCAGAATTCCCTAGCCAGCATGACTGCCTGGATAATTCTGGGAGTTGAAACCCACAAGTTTCAAGTTTGGAGATCCCTGATTTAGAGTGAGGTATGAAACCAGCCAATGGTGGCTTATTCAATAAACCTCGATGAGTCAAAATATGGTTTAGCGTGAGGCGTGAGCCAGTTCAAAGACCTCTTATCTCAGCCCAATGTAAAGTAACTGATAAGTTTCAGTCTAAATATCTAGGGACTGATAGACATTTTGAGACGTTTCTTCTCAGCCCATCATAAGGAAACGGCTCTTAATTATAGCTAGGGCAACCATGGTCAAGCAGGAAAAGAAGCACCAAAAACAACAACAAAAAAGAGAGAAGACTACAAGTTCCCCTTAATGTTCAAGCCATTCTTAGCTCTCAAGCTAGCCCAACTTTCTTGAGCCCTCTTTGTAGCCAAAAAGTCCCATTTCTATCCTGATGTGTTAAGGTGCAAAACTGCGTTAAGTTCATCCCGGTTTTAATCAAAGCGATCTTCCTGACCACGTCTTCTCATTCTTCAGTCAGCTACTCCTTTCCTCATCTCGGTTGTGATTTTGGAAAGTAACCTCATTATGATCTACGTGGTGGCCGTTGCGGCTGGAATGAGTGTGGCTGCTGCTTTTCTCCTGCCTTGGTGAGTTAATTTCCGAGTATCTTTGTCTGTTTTCAGAACTCCATATACCAGTGATGGCGAAACTTTTAGAGACCAAGTGCCCAAAACCCACCCCGCCTGCCCTTGCTCTCGCCCCCATCCTGCCCGCAGGGCCACCCACCACCTTCATGGCCCGTCGATCGCCAGGCGGCCCTGCAGCACCGCCATGGCAGCTATGTCCTCCACCTGTGCCCCGTAGCATCACCTGCGCACAACAGGGCGCAAGGGCGGAGTCTTGTCCCTGCTGCCCAGCTGCCATGTGCTTGGCTGCGTTGCTTCATGCAGGCCGCACCCAGGGGTGACTCTCCTCCAGGCCGGGATGCTGATGAGGTGGGGGCCGGGGGGGAAGGTGGAGGCTGGGGGAGAGGTGGGGCTGGGGCGACAGCGCACATGCCCACAGAGAGGGCTCCGAGTGCCGCCTCTGGCACGCGTGCCATAGGTTCGCCACCACTGCCATATACAGTATGGGTAGTCCTCAAATTACAACCATTCATTTAGTGACTGTTTGAAGTTACAACGGCCCTGAAAAAAGGGACTTGTGGCTGCTTTTCACATGACCGTTGCAGCCTCCCCATGGTCATGTGATCAGAATCCAGATGCTTGGCAACTGGCATGTATTTATGACGGTTGCAATGTCCCGGGATCACGTGATCCCCTTTTATGATTGTCTGACAAGCAAAATCAATGGGGGCGCCAAATTCGCTTGACAGCTGTGTTACTAACTTAACTCCTGCAGTGATTCACTTAACAATCGTGTCGTAAAATGGGGCAAGACTCACTTAAGAACTGCCTCACTTAGCAAACAGAAATTTTCGGCTCAATTGTGGTCCTTGTAAGTCAAGGACTACTTGCGTAGTTCTATTCCTGTCCCAGTTCTCTGAACAGCATCCAAAGGAAATTGGGGATCACTCCTAAAGAGTAGGCCCAACCCTACTAGGGTTTCGGAAGGCCATTAAGACGTGTCTCTTTCAAAGGGCCCGTGGAATTGGTGAGGATTTGGGTTCCCCCTTAATATGCAGTTTCTGCCGAATGCTGGGTTTTGATTGATTTACCAGTTGGTTGACACATCATATTTCAACTCTATTACTATATATTGAAGTATAAGCTGGTCATGTATGTTTGAACTGTCAGTTCAAGTTCCAGTTCAAACTGGGATTGTGCAAGAATAAATAAAAATGAGATCCAGACAGCTGTGAGAAACGAAGAAATGTTTATGCCTAAAAGCAAACAGCTTGCCTTTAGGGGCAGCTGCAGAAAAATGGGGTACAGCAACAGACTTTTATAGGGGTGCTTGTTCTGGTGTGGAAGCGTCTACATGCTGATTCTAGGGTGACATTTGAGATTGTGTGTGTGTGTGTGTGTTTGCATGTGTAGGTAGGTCTATGATGTTTATTCTTGTTATCATGCAGTTCCACTGGGAGACTTAATTTAATTAACACTATTTGTGTTTACAGACCTTATCCTATAATATGTGGATAAGGTCTGGGGGGTTTGAGGAAGTTTGAGTAACATTTGCTGTTTTTACTTGATTAATTTAGATTCAGCTTGACTGTCAATTATGTAGTGGAGACGCTCAGTCCGTTTTATCTTCTGTTGATGTTTTAAGGGAAGACGGAAAGTGGATAAAGAATAAAATATACTTTGATAGAAAACTTCTGACAGAACGGAAAGGAAAGGAATAGGAATAGAATTTTGAAGCAATTAAAAACAGTTCAGCTCATCCTTCACTATGTGGTTTCCTTTTCTCTCACATTGAAAAGATTAATTCGGTGGCAGCTTTTAGGAAAGATCTGGTTCGTATCTTGTTCTTGTTCTTTTGTGAACTTCCTTAAGGCTGGAGTGATTACTTGGCTTCTGTCTTGTCTCCTTCGATTAGGTCCATGTTGCCAGATGTTGTGGATGACTTCAACCTCCAGCACCCGGATTCCAGAGGCCACGAAGCTATTTTCTTCTCTTTCTACGTCTTCTTCACCAAGTTTGCTTCTGGAGTGTCTCTTGGGATCTCCACGCTCAGTTTAGAGTAAGGTTTCACCATCACCCTGTTGGCAATAGAATTCAGAATCCCCGTTCTTTTGGGATCCAGGAATTGCAATCATTTGGAAATCTTTTGCAAAAGAAATCTCTCTATTTATATGTTCGGTTATCAGTTATTTTCAGAGGACACAAAAGCTGCCAGTAAATTAGGAGGACAAGAAATTGGGACAGGTTCTGAGAAGAACCTAGGCAGTCCTCAACTTACAACAGTTTGCTTAGTGACCTTTCAAAGTTACAACAGCACTGAAAAAAGTGACTTATGACCATTTTTCACACTTATGACCATTGCAGCATCCCCATGGTCACGTGATTTACATTTGGATGCTCGAGAACTGACTCACATTTACGACGGTCGCAGTGTCCCAGGGTCCTGTGATCCCCTTTTGCAACATTCTGACACGCAAAGTCAACGGGGAAACCAAGTTCACTTAACAACCGTGCTACTAATTTAACAACTGCCGTGATTCGCTTAACAAATGTCATAAAATGGGGAAAACTCACTTAACAAATTTCTCACTTAGCAACATAAATTTTGGGCTCAATTGTGGTCGTAAGTTAAGGACTACCTCTACTGGGGAGGCCCAGGAAGAGAAACTGGGGAAACAGATTTGTTTACCGTTGGGGGGGGAAACTTAAAGAAGGATATGACCGCAAAGTTGCTCTGTGGAATTCTGGGAATTGAAGTTTACACATCCTAAACTGATGTGCTATCTTATGTCTAAGTAGAGTCACCCATGTTGTATGGCTGTAATTTTATTATTATCCTTCTCATCTCCTCTACTACCTCCTCTTACTAGTATCATTATTATGATTATTATTACACTGTTGCTTTGCATGTACACTGAGAGCTTCTGCATCGGAGACAAATTCCTTGTATATCTAATCACACTTAGCCAATAAAGAATTCTATTCTGTTCTGCTCTGCTCTATATACTCTACTCTACTCTACTCTACTTTACTCTACTCTACTCTACTCTATTATTCTGTTCTCTTCTATCCTATCCTGTCTTATCCTACCTTACCCTACCCACCCTATCCTACTCCAGTCTACTCTACTCTATACTCTACTCTACTCTACTCTTGAGGTTGAAAAATACTAGTCTACTCCATCATCCAGTAGTGCGGCACCCAGATTAATGGCCATCAGTTCAGAAAATGGGACACCAGCTGAATGCTAGGAAAAGCTTCCTAACAATAAAAATTAAGAACAAAAGAAAAGAGTGATCTGTCCATTGCTAAATGTATTCAAGCATATTTTGACTTGCAGCTATTTGTTTAGCAACAGTTCGCACTGAAAAAAGAGATTTACAATGGTCCTTTCCTTTATGACTTTCCCAGCATCCCATGGTCACGTGATTTACATTCGGATGATAGCGGTTTGGAGATTGCGTGACCCCCGGGACACTGTGACCATCATAAATATGAACCAGTGGTCAACTTTGATCACATGACCGGAGCATGCAGGAATGGTTTATAAGTGTGAAAAAGGATATGTCGCTTTTTTCAGTGCTGTTGTAACTTCAAGTGGTTGTAAGACAAGGACTACCTGTAGTGCCATGATTTCGATGTATAATTCCCGTTCTAGTAAGTCTCTGCCTCCTTTTGGCCGAAACGTAACGATTAACTGTTTGCCCAACGGAGAAATTATTACCCCATGAAAAATCTCCGCATTCAGACTCTTTATGCAGCTTTGCGCCAACTTGTGTCACTGATCTTCCTCTTCCATCGTTGATTCTAATTTGGTTTCCACCATGAAGTGGTTCGAAATGTTGCCTTCGGTCCCTTTATTCAACGCCACCCCCTCTCCCCCCCCCGCTTAATCTGTTGCAGCTTTGCAGGATACAAGACTCGAGGTTGCTCCCAACCAGAGGAGGTGAAACTGGCTTTGAAAATGCTTGTCTCTGCGGCGCCGGTGGTCTTGATCGTCCTTGGCCTGCTGCTTTTTAAGCTGTACCCCATTGATGAGGATAGGCGGAAAAAAAACAGGAAAGCTCTGCAGGATTTAAGGTGAGAGGCCGACCACAGGCAACCGTAGAGGAAGGGAAGGAGGTACCACCTCAGGATGGGCACCTGGCAAAGAGGGAAGGTGGGCTGGGATTTGTTTGGCTGACCATGGGGGAGCAAAGGACATCGCTCGTGTCACTGTGTTATCACGCAAACTTGAAGAAACATTGTGTGATGATTAGGAGCCCCGGCGGTGCAGTGGTTAGAATGCGATACTGCAGGCAAACTCTATCCACAGCCTGCAGTTCGATCCTGACCGGGGTTCCAGGTGGAACTCAGCTTTCCATCCTTCTGAGGTCGGTAAACTGAGGACCCAGATTGTTGGGGGGCAATATGCTTGCTGTCAGCGCTGCTAATATTGAATATTCGTGCTTTGACAATATATGCAGAACTGTCTGGTATTTTTAGAGTTAAATCAGGCGACAGGGAAAGGGGAGGAGAATACAAGGAAAGCCCGTGAAAAAGAAACGGAAGTGAATCTTTGCCCTCCAAGTTAATTGGAAGATGTGAATCATGATCCCAAAATAGGGGAGGGGAAATGCCTGGAATGTTATGTGCAAAGGAAGGGAAATTCAGATCTTAGCATTCCACCATGCCGTGCTGACACTCTGCAACACTAATAAAGGCTTTTTAGGTTAAAAAAAATGCTTGAAAGTTCTTTGAAGTGTTTCATTAATCAGACACATGACACTTGCATCATTAACTGCCCAGAGAGGGCTGTAAAGCATTAAGGGGCAGTGTATAAGTCTAAGTGTTATTGCTACTGCTATGATGTCATGCCACAAGGGATGGCCGTGGCTGGCATAGCAATCGGAAAGGCCCTTCATCCAGGATGCATTGCCACAGGGTCCGGCCTCTCTCTTAGCATTTTTTGTGCCGTGATGGCAGAAATGGAATTCTTTGAAGCTGTAATTCTGGGTCAGTTCAGATGGCCCTCAAAGCCATGAATCGTGGTAAACTGAACACAGACAACTGGCAAAGTTCATCCAGGTTCTTGGAGAAGCAGCTAAGGAAGTTTGGCCCAATTTTCTCTGTTCTCCATGTGATCTCCTGAGGTTTCTTTTAATAAAAAAAAATATTCTAAAAACTCGGGTGACCACAACAGTTGGCAGTGCCCTTCCTTGTAAAGCTTGCTATTGCTTCCTTAGTGCAGGGGGTCTCCAAACTTGGCAACTGTAAGACTTGTGGACTTCAACTCCCAGAATTGAAGTCCACAAGTCTTGAAGTCGCCAAGGTTGGAGACCCCTGCCTTAGTGTGACGTGTGAAGCTGCAGCGAAGCATAGTATGAACACTGTGTGCTTTGTTCTGGTTGGGTTGGAGGCAGGAACCCTTTTCTGCCTACTCCATTCCCAGTGGCTGAAACTCACGAGACGTCCATCCTGCACAATGATGGACATGTTGTGATCATGTGACAACTTTATTTGCTTTTTAGGGGAAGGAAGGGAGACGGGGTTACCTCTACCCCCACAGCTGCAGAATTCCAAGGGAATACAGAATAACAGAGTTGGAAGAGTCCCTGGAGGTCTTCTAGTCCAGCCCCCTGCTCAAGCAGGAGATCCTATACCATTCTGGACAAATGGCTGCCC